ATTGAGCATCTTGTGGAAGATCAGGCCTACACCTATCTTGGAATGCAAGTTCGAGACAAGCTCCAGAATGCCGGAATTCAAGACAAACATCGGGCCGAGGACAAATCTCGCTTAAAGAAAAACTAGAGCTCAGAACTAAATGCTCGAAACAAGGCCAAAGCCACCCATACTTTTGCCGTGCCAGTCCTTTATTATTCCTTTGGAGTAGTTGACTGGACAAAACAAGACATCCAGAGTCTTGACCGCCTGACCAGAAGGATCATGTCTGATAACAGAGCCCACCACCCTCGTTCCTCTCTTAACCGTTTATGTATGCCAATCAATTCTGGAGGTCGGGGTTTGATTAATGTGGAGGCTCTTCATGATAGAATTTTATTGTGCACTTTTGCACATATTTATTTATCGGATGATCCTCTGGTGATGCATGTCAAGACTCATGTTGAAAGCAAGGCATTCCACACCTATTTTAAGCGTGCTAAGGGTTGTTGGACAGAATCTGAAATTTGATGTTGATTTTGTTGATGGCGATGTACTGCTGGACGGTACAACGATGGGAGTAAACCAGGTGAAGTCCTTCACCAAGTCTGCCCAGAGTCGGTCATTTGTGGAGAAGCTTTCTGAGAAACCATTGCATCGTGTGTACATGCAGTGTGTGGAACAGAATAGCAATCCAACCAACTCCTTCGCCTGGATGAAGTCTGCTGGTCTTAAATGTGAAACTGAGGGCTTTCTTTTTGTTGCTCAGGACCAGTCACTTCCCACTCGCAATCGCCTTAACGTGATTCTTAAAGAAAACATTAACATGAAATGCCTACTGTGTAATGAAGTTACAGAGATTGTCCAACACCTTGTCAGTGGATGCCTTTCTTTGGCACAAACAGCATATCTTAAAAGACATGATGGCATGGCTCGTTGCTTTTACTACCGTCTTCGCAATGTCTGTGGCTTTGACTCCAAGGTCCATCCATGGTACGACCCTGAACATGCATGTCCAGGGCGTCATGGAAAATGATGCTTTCAAACTTCTGTGGAACAGGCCCATATACAGCCTCAGAAGAATTCCAGCTAACAAACCTGATCTTGTCCTTTTTGATAAAGCCAATGAATTTATTTATATCATTGAATTTTCTGTTACTTTTTACAGCAAGATTCAGGAAAAGCATACTAAGTATTTCGCCTTTGAAATGTCTCGCTTGCATCCCAAGTACACTGTCGTCAGGCTCCCCATTGTTCTCGGTGCCCTTGGTTTGGTACCTCCTGATCTCTTGGCGCAGATCAGGAGAGTGCCCGGGTTCTCCACCGGGAGCACAGCCCTTCTGACACTCTGGGTAATGCAGAAGGCTGCAGTGTTGGGGAGCCTTCATATTCTCCGGAAAGATCTTGGTGGGTTCGACTAGGCAGTGTTTCCGGGGAGAAGTCCCATTCGCTGTCTGGGCTGCGTGTAGAGGGGGCGAGGGCCCTGAGCTGATGATGTGCCTTACCAGCCTGACTGTGCCAGGATCACCCGAACCCTCTCTGCTGCATACTATCTTTAATCTGTAAAACATAATAATAATAAATGGATATTTCTTATGCACCATAGCCTATCCAGAGCATGCTCAAAACGCTACATATAAAGAGAGTCACTAGAGTTCATCAGGAAGATATGACAGTTCGTCACAATGACCATGAGAATATCTCGCAGTTATAGGTTGTAGACTTTTTTGAAGAGGAAGGTTTTGAGTCCCGATTTGAATGCTTCTAAGGATGAAACATTTTTTATGGGATCAGGAAGACTGTTTCACAGGGTTAATACTGCAGCATTAAATGACCTATGGCGAACGTGTTTGAGATGAACTTGGGGAACTGAGAGAAGATCTTGATTCTGGGAGCGGAGAGAACGGGCAGGCATATATGTTGACAACATCTCAGAGAGGTATGGAGGAGCTAGGCCGTGTCTGCAGCGGAAAACAGAGTGAGGATCTTGAACTGAATTCTGGCTTCAACCGGCAGCCAATGCAGACTCTGGAGGATTGGGGCTATGTGAGACCATTTGGATGTTTTAGTGACAACTCTGGCGGCAGCATTTTGAAGTTTTTGAAGTCTGAAGAGAAGATCATTAGAGATTCCAAACAGTAGGCAATTGCAATAGTCAATCCTGGAGAGAACAAGTGACTGAGTGAGAACTTTAGCTGCATCTGTGGTTACAAGATGGCGGATGTTACCAATAGTGTGGAGATGGTTCAAATGTTGCTCCATGGTGAGACAAGGATCAAGATAAACACCTAGATTTTTTACACTGGATGGAAGTGGGATATCTGAGTTAGCTACTGTGATGTCCATAGAGTTTATCCTTTTCAGACGTTGCGATGTGCCAATCAACATAGCCTCAGTCTTATCATCATTGAGCTTCAGCTCATTTGTCATCATCCATGAACTAATTGCCTTCGTGCACTGACTCACTCTTGATCTGGCTATTTGTACATCGTCTGGTTTGAAGGAATCCATCAATTGGAGGCCGTCTGCAAATGCGTGGTGTTTCACATCAAAGTTATCAATGACCTTCTCCAAGGGTTTTGTGTATAACACAAAGAGAAGCGGCCCAAGGACTGAGCCCTGGGGTACACCACACTCTAGGATCGTTGACTCAGACATGCTTTCAGAGACAAGAACTGACTGACTCCTCGAGCTCAGATAGGAATGGAACCAGGCCAATGCATCCCCTTGTATGTTATAGTCGTCCTGAAGACGGATGAGGGGCTTCTGGTGGTTGACTGTGTCTAACGCCACTGAGAGATCAAGCAAGAGGAGAAGTTACTCATTACCCAAGTCCGCATGGCAGCTAAGGTCATTCAGAATTTGGAGTAAGGCGGTCTCAGTACTGTGCCTAGGACGATAGGCTGATTGGAATCTATTAAGAAAATCATTTGAAGAGAGATAGGATCTGAAACTGACATCAACTGCACGTTCACGGATCTTTGAGAGGAAAGAAAGGTTGGAGATAGGTCTATAATTCTTGAGAGTATTGATATCCAAATTGTCTTTCTTAAGTAATGGCTTTACCACAGATTGCTTGAACACCTCTGGAAAGACACCATTAACTAAGCTCAAGTTGATCAGTTTCGTGATAACTGGCAAACGAGTCTCCAAATAGTCATCAAAGAGACGAGTTGGCATTGGATCGAGAAGACACAATGTCTTTTTTGACCGTTTGATGAGTGCAGCTATCTCACCCTCAGTGAAAGAATCAAAGCTGTCCAGGCAGATCCTATCATCGGGTGGACATGTTGGAGGATCTTGTGTGTCAGGAAATGTTTGGTCAAAGCTTTTCTTGATACTTTCAATTTTACTTGAGAAGTAGGCTGAAACATTGTCTGAAAGTTCCTTGTCACTAGTGGACGATGGTAATGGGGAATCATTCTTCTTGCCAAGTGGAGATCCCATGAATTTGTGAAAGAAGGAAGGATTCTTCACATTGTCAGAGAGTTTCTTAGTACAGTAACTAAATTTGCCTCCTCTAAGAGCCCTAGCACAAGTTCCGCTCAGATTTTTACAACTGACGGTGAATTTCAAGGCAACTATTCCACCATTTCTCTCTGCAGCTCTGCGTTTCCGCTAGGCTAGGAGAACCTGCTCATTGTACCAAGGAGTCCCTGATCTGACGATTTCCTTCGGAGCTGATGGAGCATGTTTATCTAAGAGAGATGACAATGTGAATGAATACAGCTCAGCAAGTTGGTTTACATCATCCGGGGGGTCTTGGAGTAAGTCAGAGTTCACAAGATCTCTTCGAAACTCGTCATTATCAATAGACTTGAGATTATGACAGGGTTGTTTGACAGTCTGACGCTGAGGTCTGTCCATATTCCAGGTCATAGAAATCATAAAGTGATCGGACAGTTGTATATCCTGCACATTGACTGAAGACACCAAGGAACTACTTTCAGAGGATATCACCCAGTCAAGGATATGGCCTTCTTTATGTGTTGGAGCGTCAACATACTGACACAAACTATGTTGTTTGAGAAGATTTCTCGTCTTCTTTGTATCTGAGCACTGACTGTTATCGTAGTGAATATTAAAATCACCTAGCAAAATAGTGTTCAACTGATTGTACCTCTCAACGAATACAGCCAACTCATCATGGAATACAGAGGTTGAAAGTTATTTTTTCTTTGACGACGGTGGACGATACAAACACACAACATGAGCACAAGTATTTCCAGAACTAATTTTAAGTGTTGATTGACTCAAAGCTTTTGAATTCCTCCAAATTGTCTAAACATTCTATCTGAATGTTAGACCTATGTATCACTGCTACACCCCCACCAGCGCGCTGGGATCTGGGAGCATGTATACAGCTGTATCCAGGGGGTGTCAGCTCAGCAATGTTCACCTCATCCTCCTTTTCTCGTAACCATGTCCCAGTGTGAAAAATAATGGCATGTTAGAAACTTTACTGACATGTTCAAGTGACAGCTAATTTTTTGTCATTTGTATAATGTGCCATTTTCCCCGTAAAACCTACCAAGACATAGTGACATTTCACAATGTGTTTGTGCAATCTTCATCTACCTCACTTTAGAAAAGCAACAAACATGTTCAATGCAATCAATATGCCGTTCTGAATCCATCCTTGATAAAATCGTCAAGGATTCTTCATGCCTTTGGAGCTCGTTTAAAAAAATATATACTTCTCAAATGAAGTTAAGGAACGTGAAATTATTTTGTATAAATGTAATGACTAACTATGATGACTAACTTTTCAGTAGCATTTATAGGAAACATTCCGATCAGTTTACGAACGTTTCCACTTGTTAATTAACTATGCAGCAAGTATGTAACAGACCGTAAATTATATCTTAATGAAAATGATCCCGCCAGGGTTTGTAATGATCAGCTAATGCTATTGCTAAGCCTTTCTGCAAAGAGCGAAAACACAATGAAAGAACATTAAATATTCCCATTCAGCACCACGAAAGAAATGTACATCATTGACATTGATTCTGTCGTGTCCTGTGTGTAAAACAGAAAACAGGTGCGTTATGGATTTATGGATGATCTTATCCATTTGCTTTTTATGGATGGCGTGAGTTACGGAACAACACAAACACAAGTGAGCTGCGTTTGAGAGGATCTTGTCTCACATTTTAAGATGGACGTTTATCTCTGTGTAATGTGGGTGATATCTGTGCTCTACCGTCTGACATGGGGTGAGTTACAGGTGCTATAGATTCGTTAGAGGAGGATATGTTAACCTTCGTAATATCTCGTATCGCCACTGATTTTCAGTCATCCCTTCCTTGCAATTTACACCTTTTGCCATTTCAATGGAATCTGTTTCGCCAGATAATGGAGAAAGATTGACTTTTGAGTTGTTTGTGATAGTAGAATAAGAAGTTATCTCGGGTAATGTCATATGATTACAATTCTATTTCGTTTTCTATAACTATTACAGTTTCTCTTAAATTGCATGTATTGTTAAAATGTTCCAAATTTCACATTTCGATAAAGGGTCCTTCACACTTATTTCGAATTGACAGGAATCAAGGAGAATCAGCCAGACAAAATTCCAAAATTCGAACCGCATTCGGGAGAGAATTTCAAGCTTTGTAAGAATGCTGTTGGAATAATTATGACGCACTTCGAACCCGCCTCGAATGATTCTTACTCATTCCAAATGTACTAAATCACGAATTCAGCTCGAATGAGTCGGAATACAGTAGGAATAGTTAGAATGCCGTTAGAATACACTAAGAATACTTAAAATGAATTTCGACTGCCGTACGAGTCCGGTTCGATTGCTGCGTTAATAACACTCGAATTTCAGTTGGAACGTACCTCTTTACCTTCTGTTAAAGAATTAAAACAGAATGCAGCTCGAATAATTTAAATGTCCTTCAAATGCACTTAGAATGTAACACGAATGTCCGGAATGCATCAAGAAAGCTGCCGGAATGTTCCACGACAGGGTATAAAAGGTTTAATCTGGACTATTCATCAGTCTCTGCCCAACTCCCATAGAGTATGGATCCCCTGAACCATGTTGTGTTGCTCCAAATTGCTTCAGCGAGACCTGATTGAAAGAGATGTGGAGAAGAAACTGGAGAGGACCCAGGACGAAGACCCAGGAGATTCCAGACCAGACCATGGCTGAAAAGGAAAGGAGGAGGCTGTATGGACATTACAGAAGACTGATGGAGGAGCTCAGAGTTGAGGACACGCAGTCATTCTTCAACTACCTTAGGATGGAGCCTGCCATGTTTGATGAGTTGGTGCTGAAAGTCGAACCAAGAATACAGAAGCAGAATACATATATGAGAAAGGCGCTACCTCCAGGCTTGAAGCTACCCATCACATTGAGGTTCTGGGTTCAGGTGGTAGGTAGCCCAGCTTCATGTACAGCTTCCGCGTGGCAAGGAACACAATCAGCCTGATCATCCCAGAAGTATGTAAGGTCATTGTGGAGGAATACAAGGATGAGGTTATCATCAGCCCTACCACTCCAGAAGACACCCATTGAAGAGGTATTCAGAAACAGGTGGAATATTCCTAGGAGCTTTAGATGGCAAACATGTGGCCATTAGAAAACCTGCCAAGAGCGGGTCATTGTATCACAACTACAAGGGTGTCTTCTCTGTGGTCCAAATGGCCCTTGTGGGTGGAAATTACAAGTTCCTTCGGGTGGACGTTGGTGCTTACGGAAGTATGTCTGATGCTGAGATCTTCAACGAGTGCGAGCTCAAGGATTGTCTTGAAGACGGGTGCATAGGATTTCCTGATCCGTTCCCCTTACCCCACGATGACGAGCGTATGTCATGCTTTATTCTGGGAGATGATGCCTTTGGAATATGAAACTTTATTAAACCATATGGTCATAGGGCTATCCAGAGAGACGAGAGAATCTACAACTACAGGATCAGCAGGGTCCGACCGGTAGTGGAAAATACATTTGGAATCATGGTCCAGAGATGGCAAATCCTCCTCACCACCATGCTGCCAAGGCCTTCCGTTGTTAAGGACATCATTGAATGCTGCCTGCACAACTTGATGAGGACTTGTTATCCTAATCTCCACAAAGGTATGGTGGATGAGGAAGATGAGCAGCACAACGTGGTGCCAGGAGGCTGGAGACAACTTGCGCAGCTTGAAAATGTGAATGATATCTGAAGTTTCAGTGACAGGTGGCTACGTTTTTATGCAATTCGGCGGTGTTTTGATGACGCCGTGGCTCATTTGAAGAGCATTCGGGACGTTCTGACTTTATTCGAGGTGTATTCGATGTACATTCGAGCTGTATTCCAAGTGCAATCGAAATATTCCGATAAGTTTGAAGTGGCTTGCCTTTCCCATTCTCCCTCGAATACGTTAAGAATACTTAGAATGCAGTTAGAATGCAGTAATAATACTTAGAATGCAGTTAGAATGCACTTCAAATGCTGTTCGATATTTTTCCACTTCGAATGTACCTCAACAGTTTTGAACATGTTCAAAACATTCGGGCATGTTACAAGAATTGACACGAATAGTTGGAATGCATTCGGAATGGAGTAAGAAGTTTTAGAATGCAGTTCGAATTTCCAGGAATCTCCAGGAATTTTCATTCGGACGGCATTCTGGTTCATTCCGCCTCAAGTGTGAAGGGGTTTAAAACAATTAATCAGTTACAGAGGAACCCCCTGTTTAACACCCACAGGAATATTAATGCCTACCCGCGTATACAGTACTTTGCCATACCCCTAAACAGAAATGCCATATACAAACAAGTCATCGTCATCATCACTCTGGGATCAGAAGCTTTGTTTCATCATGGGCGTGCATACTTACAGGACGAATGTCATACAAGAAGTATTATACTTTTGGAGAAAATGATTGAATCCCCATTTTCACACGGGACATTGATATACTTTACTGCCCTTATGGTGAAGGAAAACCAAGTTCTATGGATAGTCAACTTCTTTATTGCAATGAGTGCGACGTTTCGGTGTAGGTACTAACTCCGTTATCAATGCCTCTCAAAGAAGGTGCCCTTATGGTGTTTTCGTCATTTGTCCTTTCAGCATGCACCGAGACCCATGTGGCCGACACAGGCACCTTCACCTCCCTCAACTACCCCAATGACTACCCTCCAAACCTTATGTGTACTTACACCTTGACACCTGTCACCCCCGGGGCTGTGCTTAGACTCGTCTTTGATGACTTCAGCACAGAGGAGGACAAGGATTTAGTGAAGGTATTGTATGTTTTAATAGAGACTGAGTCCAAGTAAAGGGGTTGATAAGAAGAAAAGAAGTAGGGTGGGTTCCAAATTTCTCGGTACGAGTAAACAATCAGTCAGAAAACTTTTGTTAAAAGTACAAAAACTTCACCTTCAGAATGCAGATGAGTATAGTAGCACCATCATATTGTTAGATATTTTATAGATTCTATAACCTTTGTGAGCCCCATATCACAGACCCGAAAGGGATGACCATTGAACACGAAGGCGATTAATTAAGAACCCAAGCATCTTTGTAATTTAGATTTGGCGGTGAAAGTTCATTCTGTTTTTCATGGCGCGATATATTTCTAAGCAGCTCTCAGATCTTGACGCAGAGAGGTATTGCATCGCCGTTAAGATCTCAGTTTAACGAAACTGTATTCAAGAGGTAACTATTACTCGATGTTACATGTCCATAGCCATGATGTATAAATGTGTATAACTTTGGGCAGATATGTATGGTAGCTGTATCCACAATAAAGTATAAAAATGTTTGTAATTGCGTGAACGTCATACCCATACAACAAATATAATGTTTTTAATATACTTTTATGAAGCTAAAGAGGTGAATCAACTGGCAGGTATTCATCAGGATGAGCACTGTGTATGTTGGGATACTCAGCAATAGATAGCAAATGTTATGACCGCAAACGATCTTGAAGGACGACAGGGGTAAGATTGGAAATTTAAACGTTGACATTTTTGGATTAGTATCGAGCAGTACTTCTTGTCACTATTGTTTGGTCATTAATGAACGATATTAGATCGTCGTTGTACTTTATGCTGAACTTAAACCTCTTGGCCAAATTACCTTGTTTTGATGTTGCCATTCCTAGAAAATATTCTGAATCGTACAAACAGAAACAGAACAGTAAGAAGGGGGCCAATATTGCTGCTCATGTGGATGCCTACTATCTCCAATACGAAATACACAATGCCATTTTAGAAAGTGGTCAAATGTAACGTATGTTATATTTGGGATTACACTTTCTTAGTAAAGTACAGATTCTAGTACTTTTGGGGTTGACATTCCGGGAATCGAACCCACACCCTCAGACCCTAATCGTATCTCCAATACGCTGGTCTGGTTACAAAACTAGGGACAAAGTTTTACTAGGTACCAGTCTAAGAGGCGACTGAAGTGGTGGTCTATCCGGAGAAGTAGATAAGTCAGATAAGTCGTTGGACATGTTCAGTGTACCGCTCGTAGATCTGAAATACTACACCAAGGGGAGACAACTCTCGTGTTACGACCGACAAAAACAGGAAGGCTTTCCAAGCACTCAAACAGAACACTCTACAAACAGAATTACCTTCGCAGTAACTCAACCAAATGTTGAAAGTTTTAGTATCATGCAAATTTCCTTTTATGGCTTTGATGTGTAGTTTTGGTTATCATTATAACAACATGACGTTTAACTTGATAGTTTGAAAAATATTACTTTGCCCTCAACATGTGAAACTATGAAAACTATGAAAAAAGGTTTGCATTATGAAACGATGATCGTTTGGAATGGCGTAAGATATCTTGCATAAACCCATCCTGCTGTCTTCGTCTTTTAGTCTAAACGGTCTGAGAAGTGTTCATGCAAAATGCAATCTAGTACAACAATGACACAACCGGGGCGGATCCAGAGAGGGTGTATGTGCGCGGGGGTGCACCCCTCCCCTTCTCCAAAACCCTGGATCCGCCCCTGCATAAACCCGGATGACTGGCTCTGTAAACAAGTAATAATCATTAGCATTTTCATGTGAGGCAAGTTAGAACTCTTCTTTGATTTAATTCCAGATCTATGACGCAGACGACAAACTAGTGATCACAAAGAGCGGTGGGCGTTACAAGTGGGTTGTTATCCCTACAGCAAGCTATTTGAAGGTCGTGTTTTCGTCTGACAATGCCAACACGTTCCTTGGCTTCAACGCAAGTTGGTCTAGTGAGTAACCCGCTCTGAGAAACTGTATCATATGGTCTAGAGTTACGTAACATACCGTACCAGGATCCGCTGTCCGAGGGTTTCGATTCCGTTCATGTTGGTTTCTCCATTGTGGTCACTTTGGAAGTACCACCAATGGGACACTCAATTTCGCCTCCTATAGGGACAGGGGACAGGGGACAGGGGACAGTATGTAGACGGTTCTGTGCTTCAAGATCATGCATGAAAATAAACTCTGTCAAAAATACATGAAAATGGCAGTTAATGTAGGGGTGTATAAAAGCCCATGTGCTTCCGTATTATATTCATTCATTTGTCGCCGAAAAGCTGTGTTAAAAATGCCACGATTGAGTGCTGCCGACCGAAATATCGCCATTGGTCGTGTTCAAGCCGGAGAAAGTTTTGGAACTGTTGCACGGCACCTAAATGTTCACAAAACAACGATATCCCGACTTTGGAGCCGCTACAACAACTTCAATTTGACCAACGATCGCCCGAGAAGTGGAAGGCCAAGAATCACGACCCCCCTTCAAGATCGGTACATCCGGGTCCATCACCTGCGTAATCGGCATGCCCTACCAACCGTGACTGCCACACAAATACCAGGTTTGAGGAGAGTGTCAGCTCAAACGATTAGGAACCGTCTGAAAGAAGCGGGTTTACGTGCCTGTAGACCAGTTGTTGGACCTGTACTACGCCCCTACATCGACGCCGACGACTCAGGTGGTGCAACAACGTAAGGATACGGTTGCGTTTCTTTTTGACAGAGTTTATTTATCTTGTGTGACCAGCATGAGCGCCCGCTAGAACAAGGCGAACGGGGCCGAGCAAGCGAGGGGGTTGTCTGTTATTGTAGACAAACAATGCTTCAGAACCAGGACATTCTTTAAGAGTCATGATGAAGAGGACCACTTGTTTATGGTTAAACAACTTATTTATTGCAATAGATGCGAACTTCACACTCATACTGTGATATCCATATTAGGGCATTATTTTTTCACGTAGCCACCAAATTTTGAACATCGGTCGGTCGGTAGGGGAAAAAAAAACAAAAAAAATTAATAAAGACAAAATTATCCGAATAATGTTCTGGATTCTCATTTATTGTATTTCTTATTACAATTTTTCGCGTTCTTTGGACTTGTGGCGGCGATTGATTAAACCTTTTTTAGATAGACAGACATTTTACATAACGAAGCGGTACGTTTTAGGTTCGAGTCGGCGGTGTTGGAATGAAATAAATAAGTTTTGTTGTTGTTGTTGTTTTGTTTTGTTTGTTTTTTGGGGGGGTGGGGGTGGGGTGGCGTCGGCAATAAAATTAGTGTCGGTCGGGCGATGAGAAACACAAAAAATATAAATACTGCCCTATGACTGAAATATATAATGATTACCCAAAATTTTATGCTTCCTTCCTTGACAGTGATCTTTGATTCTTTCAGTTGCCCCCTCGTCGCAGGCGTTTGACTACCGGGTTGCCATGGCAACGAGATGCCCTGTCCAAGGACTCTTTGAACCATTTCCAGAGATAAACGGAATTAGAAAGCTGGAGATTATGCCATCAATGACCTTCCATACCTGTATGCTGCTGTGTCAAGTGCTGGCGGAATGTTCGTATTTTAAGATATATTCCAGCGGAAACTGTTACGTGTACGAATATCAGGACGGCTTCGTGCTGAAATACACCTCCACTTACAAAAAGGTTACCAACCCGTAGTCATGGACGAAGCCTTACGGTGATCAAGAGAGTAGATGAATGTCGTTTTATGTGGCAATCTGAACAGCTAGGGGAACTGTGAATGAGGGAATGCTGATCAGGCGAACCATCGGAATACTGCTTCATGTCGTCAACAGAAAGTTGCTTTACACATAATAGAAGTTTTCGAGTTGCCTCCGGTTACTTCAGTAACCCATTCTTCCGTAACCCATGCTTGTCGTAAGAGGCGACTAACGGGATCAGGTGGTAAATGTAAATAATCAAGTCTTGACCAGACAGTGCAGTGATCAACAGCATGAGCATCGATCTGCGCAATTTGGAACCGATGACATATGTCAACCACGTCAGCGAGCCTGACCACCCGATCCCGTTAGTCGCTTCTTACGACAAGCATGGGTTACTGAAGATCAATATTCTAACCCGGACCTTCACAGGTTTTTTGGTGTAGGTAAATATGCACCGATTATTGCTTTCAGTGGGGACTCAGGAATGTCTGACAATGGTTGCATATATATTGTTAGACAGTGGTGCCGTTTTAGAAACATGCCTGATCGTTTAAATAAACATGTTTTGTTATGGTCGGAAGGTATACTGCTAATCGTAAAAACTGGAATCACCGTTTTTCGTCAAAATTGGTAGACCTAAATTTATATGCAGCATATTTCAGATATCACCACTCGTGTAAATGCTAAATTTATCACTACAAATATGCAAGATTCGATAATGAAGAACTATGTTTCAAATTGGCAAGAAAGTTTAGGGAAAGATAATTAAATGAATAGTAGAAGTAAGAACCGTAGATCTTTTGAAGATTTTTATTGTTGTGAAACACTTTTATGCCCCGGAGGTACACTTCCGCTTTTACACATTTTAGATGTGATGAAAATAAAAACGGACAGGTATATAAATCTATATATTGATGACAGAGTATGTTTTAACTGTGTTTGAATTTTATTGAGGACGCAGATGTTGTTATGTTATGTACTGCTCCGTTTACAAATGTTACCACTGAATTTTTTTAAAAGCTACGAAACGTTATGTGTCTCCCACAAGTGTGACCTTTGCTTTACTCGATCTGACTCGTCCACAAGTGTGACCTTTGCTTTACTCGATCTGACTCGTCCACAAGTGTGCACTTCCCTTTACTCGATCTGACTCGTCCACAAGTGTGCACTTCCCTTTACTCGATCTAACTCGTCCACAGGTGTGACCTTTGCTTTACTCGATCTGACTCGTCCACAAGTGTGCACTTCCCTTTACTCGATCTGACTCGTCCACAAGTGTGCACTTCCCTTTACTCGATCTGACTCGTGCACAAGTGTGCACTTTGCTTTACTCGATCTGACTCGTCCACAGGTGTGACCTTTGCTTTACTCGATCTGACTCGTCCACAAGTGGGACCTTTGCTTTACTCGATGTGACTCGCCCACAAGTGTGCAATTTGCTTTACTCGATCTGACTCGCCCACAAGTGTGACCTTTGCTTTACTTGATCTGACTTGTCCAGAAGTGTGACCTTTGCTTTACCCGATCTAACTCGCCCACATGTGTTACCTTTGCTTTACATTGGATAATTCCACGACAGTCGTGGGTATGACTGCCATTAGTCACTATATTCCCGTGAGACAAGTCGTAAACTGTTTTGTTTGCTTGTTGTTTAACGGCGCAGCCAGCAACATTCCACTGGGAGGGTCAACAACAATACAATCTTCTTCCGTTTGTTTTGGTGGAAGTGGCAGTTTCAATAATACCCTTTGTCTTCGCGAATAACATTACACTTTTCAAGGATTAAATATATAACAATTGCCAGACATACAGGTTCTTATGCTTCATTTGATTCGCAAGCCTGGTACGTCAGATGGATCGATGAAACAGTCATGGATTGTTGAATATACATAAGTAGTCATGGCTAAGCTTTTATTTGTAAGTGACAATCATTGATCATCTTAAACAAATTTAATGATATAAGAGTTGTCTGTTCCTCCTGCTTCCTGCGGCTCAACGAGTTCTCTCCACTCTATGTTAATGCGTTATTTAGTTTCAGATAAAACTATGGCGGAAAACAATGCATGTGTGTTAGACATTCTGTAATACAGGTTGACATGTCTACATCTGCCAAAATGAGTACATGAAGGTCGAAATCGGATGAGGTACGTGTCATTTACCTCTAACTCCACTATTCATAGGAGTGAGTGAGTTTAGTTTTACGCCCCACTCAGCAATATTCCAGCTATATGGCGGCGGTCTGTAAATAATCGAGTCTGGACCAGACAATCCCGTGATCAACAGCATGAGCATCGATCTGCGCAATTGGGAACCGATGTCAACCAAGTGAGCGAGCGTGACCACCCGATCCCGTTAGTCGCCACTTACGACAAGCATAGGTTACTGAGATCAATATTCTAACCCGGACCTTCACGGGTAACTATTTACAGGTGACAGTGGTGGTGGTGGTGGTGGAATTGGGTTTAACGTCGTGCTTGAGAATATTTCGCTCATATGACGACGTGCATGCGTGTGTATGTGTATGTGCGGCTGCTTGTACTAGCCCAGACTGAAGCTGGCTTTATACCCCACTCAGACACATTATACTGACTCCGAGCCGACCAGTCCTTGTTGTACCCATTAATGCCGAGCGCCAGGCAGGGACCAACAAGTACCATATTTTAACGTATTTTGGTATGACGCGGTCGGGGATCGAACCCGCGACCTTCCGCACTCCGGGCGGACGCTCTAACCACTACACCACTGAGGCGGTCACAGGAGACAGTGATTGTACAAGATAGTATATTGTTAAAGATTCATATTATTTGAGCAGAAATTGCGTTTGGAGGTATTAAAATGGTCATGCTTGCCATTTTGCTTCCGTTGCAATGAAGACATCATTACTTCCGTAATTGTGAGTTTCCGCGGTTGAGGGATTTCAGTATAGAAAGTGAACGTCATCAGTTCCACTAAGCGTGAAAACAATAATTATTCTAAAAGTGAAAAGTGAAACACATTAACAAAACGACTTTCCGTGACACGCGAAGTGTTTGTAAGGCCTTCGAAATTGTTGTTTGTGAACAATATACCTAGCGAGTCGTAGAAACAAACTACTTACAAAATACACATGGGAATTTGTCTGCGTTCGTTTGGGTGTGTTTGGAGGACGTGTGCACTTCGTCACATAGCTCCTGTTCTCATCCACTGTACAGGGACGCTTGGTGAACTGATGTCAGAGCGCACCGTGGCCTGCTCTCTTGACACTTTGTCGATGTTGACACAAGAAATAAACGCGAACTTCAGGTGTGGGGATACACCTGTGCCGCAGGCGAGGAGACCGCTATTCAGTCGTTTGATTCATTTGTTCGTTTATTGGTTTTAAGTTTTTAGGAATCAATAATGCATTTGGTAGTGTTTGTGTTATACCTTAGAAGTGAATAATTGTAACGTACTCTAAAAGTGAAAGAAACTATAGTGGTGATATGAAAGATCAAAATAAAGACCGTATGTGTATGCATCGACCCCCGGTAGTCCGGTGGGTAGAGCGTCTGTCGAGGGAACAGAAGGTGGTGGTTCGAATCCCTGGCTGGGTCATACCTTGAGACGTTAAACGGGAAAACCATAAGGACTGGTGCGCTGAATTGTGAGACTGAGGATGGTAAGTTTTGTATACCTATGTGGAAAATGTAACTAATATAAGAACAGACTAGCACAAGACCTGTACACTCACGCACGCACAGGCAAGTGATTGACATCATGAGCACCGATCTACACAAGTGGGATAAAATGACATGGATCATCCCAGACCATTTGATTCCGCCAGTGGCCTCCTACGACAACGATGAGTTGCTGAAGACCAATCCTAACCAGGATCATGGTCTTGGAATAGGATGCTGAGCCAGTTTTCTGCCTGAACCAGCATGTTACCTATACCTGAGTGATTAGCACCTGATAAAAGTATAAATCATACTATACTGACAAAATGCAAGAAGTGAGTGAGTGAGTGAATGTGTGAATTTACTTTTTCGTCCATTTTAGCAATATTCCAGTGAGTGAGTGAGGTATTACGCCTCTTTTAGCAATATTCCAGCAATATCACAGCGGAGGACACGGGACATGAGCGTCACACATTGTGCCCATGTGGGGAATCGAGGTACGAGGGAAAGCTGTAACCTCTAGGCTATCCCACCGCCTACAACGCAATAAGGGACCGGACGTGGTGACCATATTGAGGCATGATACCGGAAGTGTTAGTAAAAGACTTGAGGTTTTGTTTGACGCCGTCGGTTGTAGCGATTGAAACCGAAATTGTACCCACATTGGGAATCGAACTGGGTATTGGTGCTAACAATGAAACAATGTTTTTTGAGGCCCGAAACACTTTTTTTTGTCCTGTGAACGATTTTTTGTTTTTTATACAGGAGGACACAGTTATTTTTTTATGAATTTTCGAGAACAATTAACTGTTTTCAGAATATCACATGATATCGATTATCAAAGGTAAAATTTCTCACGATACTTACACAAACTGATAACATGATTTTCAAGCAAGTACCGGAACATGAAACTACATAAACTATTTCCACACCATTCTACATCCATATTTTTACTCGTCACGAATGAAGTGAGTAATCATGAACAGACACTTACAAACTCAGGACAAACATGTTTCCAACCGCTTGTCTTGCTTCGTGGGTGGTTACACAAAACAAAAAAATTAAAGTCCATTCTCAAAACAAAACTCGAAAAGTGAATCAACCGAAACATTGATTAGATCTCGTGGTTCAAACTAGAGATAAGTATGTTTAATGTCAGCTGTTATTCCCCTCAGACGAACCTTACAGACGATGAGTGCTGCTTTCCAGGTCTTCTTCGTGTAATTGCTTCCAGGAGTAGAAGAAATCATTTACGATGATGCCAGAGTACATTAACCAAATTAAACAACCACTACTTTCATTACGCACTTAACCAGGTAAGGTTGTATTAAAAATACAGTTTTCCTAACAAGGCTATGGCTGTCACGTGACCACAATACAAGATCGCTCATTGGAGGTTAGAGTTTGGCATGTTAGTGTTTTCATCTTCTGATGGTATGACCTACGTGTGACTGGTGTACCGACTGTAAACTTGATTTAATCACACCAACGACAGCAACATCAACAACTGGTCTGGGCATCTCTCAACATAGCTCCAAGAATTTAGGACGCCTGGGAAACCGTTCTGGGTGCAGTGAATGCCGCTACTAGTCGTACCATGGACTTTTTTCAGTGTGTGGTCTGTTTTCATACTTGCTTTGTACTCTTCAGGCCCGCTTGGGGTAAGTGAGTGTGTTAGACCAGGAAAAGTGGACAGGTGACATAACTGTAGCGTAACTTGGCCATTTTGGTCAATTGCCAACTGCAAATATGCTCTTATAAATAGTGGTGGATCATGAAATATAATGTCAATACCAAATGTGAAAACAGGACGTGTATCTTACGGAAGAACGTGCATGTTTAACACCAAAACACATAGTTCACGTGCTGCACGCAGTGAGTTCGGTACTTTCCGAGATGGTCGATTAATCTCGACTATTATTTCTGTCTCTCTTGGTGATTTTCTGATTTACTTGATTTCAGTTTTTATTTGTCTATGACCTTGTGTATGACTGCCCGCACTCCGCAGTGAGTCTACGGGCTACGTGCTGGAAACTGACTATTGTCAGCATGCAGTGGTCAATATACTGGCATAGGCGGATCCAAAGGGGGGTGGTGGTGCAGGGGTGCGCCACTTTTGTCCTGAAGGTTTATCTAATGACCATTGAAACTCTCATGAATACGACTGAAAATGAAGTGTGCACCCCACCCCTTTCTCAAGAGTGTGCACCCCACCTTTCTCAAAAGTTGTATCCGCCCCTCTATAGTCAATGGTTCTGTGAATAGCATACCATCAAACAGGTACCAAGAAATTTAAATCATGACGATTGATCCCAAGGTGTACAAGCTAAATGGCAGGAGTACAGGAGTGATTGGTCCCAAACCAGGGTCTATAAGAAATCATACAGTTCATCCTGGTGTTTGAAAGCCACATTTTGTGCTACTCCTTACAAGTCCTCATAATGCCAACAGACGTCGATAGTGTATATGACTTCTGAAGTCGTCGTAATCGTCGCTGGACACGTGTCATCTTTTCAGGTGAGTCGTTTCCCTTTGCAGTCCCCTGACAGGAGCGACCATGACTGTCGGTGGATCGGATATCGGGTGGCATCATTATAAAAAGAGCAAGCCACATCTTAACTCGTGGATGAAGCAAAGCAGTGTCACTATAACAACATAATAAATAATGCAAGCAATGACCTATTGTACAGGAAAAAGAAGCGCACACATCTATCACACTCTTCTCCAGAAAAACTGGCTGATGCATGTGCATAATTCTCTTATGATAAAACCCTGAAGATCAGATCCAGTCTGGTGGAAAGTCGGGCCTATGACACTGGCACGAGCTGCTGAGACCAAGATCACCAAGCTTCAAGTCACATAACACTGATTTCAACCGACCACGTGTGAAGAAATAGCTAAGGTACTTCCAATGTGCCCGACCAAGTCCTGCTCATTAGCTTCTTTGCCAACTTAGCTGCTTAAACTTGCTACGAAAGAGACTATTCCTATTATCATTAGGGTGGTAAACCTACAATGACAAACTGTGAAGTTGTTCCATGTCTCAAGGAAGTACTCATTACCCTCTTCAGGATCATCTCAAAAGCGGCAATCCACACGAAACCATGCAATCACCCTACAAACTATAGCACTATGGCCATAGCACGGAGACTGCCCTGAAACATGTTCAGAATGATTTGCTCATGTCCGTCGACTCTGAAGGCACATGCTGCTTGAATTATCCGCAGATTTGACACAATCATATATCATGCAATTCTCTTGTCCTTACGCGAAATGTGTGTCGGCATAACTGAGATGCTTTGTGGTTGTTTGAGTCGTACCTAAGCAACCGTTGTCAATCAGTTGCCATAAATGGTAAGGAGTCACGGAAGCAGTAACTCATGCGGCGTTCCTCAAGGATCAGTTTTAGGTCCCATACTCATGTTGTAACGCCTTTCCAGTTCGGTTATTATTATCATCCTTCTATAATTAGGTTTAAAAACATCTAACCATTTTGGAAATTTTAAGTCATTTCTGAGTATCCATTACTTTTTTAAAGAAAAAATATATATCTGGAAAACAGTATTGCAACATCAGGTTTTGAAAGTGTTCCTTTACATATCCGAATTTTGTGGTAATAGCATGCATTTAGTTAAGACAAAACATTATGTGCTGAGTTAAAGTGGGTTTTGGCAAAACAAGGAAGACCGGAAAAGGCATTGGATGTGCGTTTGAAACAATTAGTTCCATTCCTGATGAAGAACAACATCAAGCTGTCAGTGTAAAGTTTTGAACCAGAAGCTGTTTCTGTCGAATTCTAATCCATCTGAAATGTGCCCCACGCTCAAGTTCTAAATCATAAATCTAAATTTATATCGGAGCTCCCTACAAGCCAGGGAAATGTTGTAGTGGCTTCTTGGCGAAGATAATGACGAACCACATAAGCTCTGTTGAATCTGGCATTGTCCTCCATATTATTGGGCCTTGTGTGGAGGGAACAGTTATAAAAATGTGGAACGACCCACGTGCAAGTTGTCCGTCTGGTATTTTACGCTGTTGAGATTCTCCCTCGAAGTAATCAGCGGCTCTTTACAAACACAGAAGCATCCCCTGACCGTTAGGAAGCCACCGCCAAATGGAACCTGCTGCATACTGTTCCTTTGTTTGTAAGCCGTGCCTTTCCGTCGCCAAAAAACGTACTCATGGAGAGGAGAAAGCGACTCTCATCCGACCAGTGGATCTTTATCCACGATGCCAGGTTCCAGTTCCTACGAACCCTTCACCAGGCCAGACGAACAGCCTACAGCGTTTAACAAGTTTCCCTGCTGCTTCCAGTTCAGACCCGTGGATAGCGTCGTCGTAATGTCCTAGAAAGGCCTTGTCTTTCAAGTGACATGTGCAAGGAGGTCTACAGAACGTCTTTGTTATTGTACAACAATGGGTTGGTTCCATGAGTTGGTGCTGAACTGATCAGATTTAGAACGTGATTTTATATCAGACTGTAGGGGCATTAAATATACGTGCCTCTTTGACACAATTATGTGTTTTGGCGATGCGATAGAAACAGGAAGTGGAAAAGTATTCATTTCATTCTTCACCAGATCAGTTAGCTGGATAGTACAGATGGCAGCTTAACATTATTCTGGTGTTGAAAAACTTATGTTCTCTTATGTTGTATTGTAGGTGATGTTGGTATGGGCATGTAATGTAGGGGGTATAGGTGTGGGCTTGTAATGTAATGGGGGTGTAGGGGTGGGCTTGGTGGGGGCATGTATTGTAGGGAGCTTGTACTGTATAGGTGTTGGGGGCATGTATTGTAGGGAGGTGTTGGGGGCATGTATTGTAGGGAGTGTGGGGGGCATGTATTGTAGGTGGGTGTTGGTGGGGGCATGTATTGTAGGGGGCAGTGGTGGGGGGGGCATGTATTGTAGGGGAGTGTTGGTGGGGGCATGTATTGTAGGGGGTGTTGGTGGGGCATGTATTGTAGGGGTGTTGGTGGGGGCATGTATTGTAGGGGTGTTGGTGGGGGCATGTATTGTAGGGGGTGTTGGTGGGGGCATGTATTGTAGGGTGGGGGCATGTACTGGTGGGGCATGAATAAATGTATCCTAAGGGTGCATGTATTGTAGGGGGTGTTGGTGGGGGCATGTATTGTACTGTATTGTAGGGCGTGGGGGTATTAAGGGCATGTGTAGGGGTGCGGGCATGCATGTATTGTAGGAGTGTTGGTGGGGTATGTATTCGAGGGGGTGCGGTTTACGCAGAGAAGGTTTGTATGGGTGTCAGCGAAATGATAATCGTGCGATACCTGCTTCGCTTCGGGTGTAACCTGTACATGAAGCTGACACGTTGTACAATTAAATGCAGCGTTATTATCAGATTCACAGACTCGCTCACTAATATATACTAACGGAATAAAGTAACTGTGCATAAAATAAATTGCATTATAAAAGTTATTTGAAAAGTTTTAAAAATAAACCTAAATAAACATGTAGCAAAGCACTTTGCATGAAATTTGGTGTCACGTATCGCTCGTAGCATGTGCACTTTGTGACAACTGATATTGAAAATTGAAAACGGTTGATTATTCTCTAGATTCGGAATGTTATGGAAAACACGTTAATTTTAACTTAAACTGCGTGAACGTCATGCCGCGGCTTACAGAATATCAGTGTCTCCTCGACGTTCGTATGCTGGAGACTGGAATGACCCAAAATGAAGTGGCTAGACATTTTGGTATTCATCGAAACACAATCTCATCTCTATGGAGACGTTTTCAACATAATGGGAACACGAGATTAGCCTCGGATCAGCCGTCCTCGCGTGACCACATTCGGCTGACAAATCTAAGGAATTGATTCCAGACTGCCAGTTTGACTGCTCGGACCATTCCTGGCTTACGTCCAATCAGTTCAAGGACTGCGGAACCGACTGAGGGATCACAACATCCGGCCCCAACGGCCTGCAATACGTCCAATTTTGCTCCAACGTCACCGACAGGCACGTCATGCCTGGTGCAGACAGCATCTACGGTACAGGAGACAAGATTGGGGTGGTGTTTTGTTCACTGACGAGTCAGGATTTCATCTGGACAGCTCAGATGGCAGGGCGAGGGTGTGCAGACGGCCAGGTGAACGGTATGCTGACCCATGCGTTCTTCAGAGTAAAAGTTATGGTATGGTGAGCCATCACATCTTATGGTCGGACACAACTTGTCATTATCAATGGCAATCTGACAGGTCTGCGATCACTGGGCCTCAAGTGCAGCCGTTCATTCAAGGACAGAGACGTAACTTCACGCTTCAACAAGATAATGCCCGTCCATGTGTCGCTCGTGTTGTCACAGATTTCCTGAGACAGCAGAACATTCCGGTATTCCCCTGGCCAGCTGTTTCTCCGGACCTGTCCCTTATCGAGATGTTTACGTCAAGTCCAGAATCAGCCATTGAACTTGTACAAGCGTTGGTTCAGACATGGAGCAACATTCCCCAAGATTTCTTCAATCGCTTAGTGTTGTCTGTGCGTCGTTGTCAAGCCTACATCAACGCCAATGGTGGACACACACGATACTGAATTTGTGAACTGACTTTTGACACAACATCTCTTCAAGGGCGTGTCTCGATACCTTGGGTCGATATTATTCTGTCAACAGTGAAACAGCGATTCAGGAAAACACCACAAATCATGTTATTATTTTTTGCATTAAAAAATGGCATAACATCAAATAATGCACAGTTACTTTATTCTAGTAGTATACATGAAATATTGTGTGATACCACAGTGGGAGCACAACTACATGGTTTTATCCACAAGAATGTTTTTGAATCCAACCTTGCTTAAAAAAACTAATTTTTTTCATTGTCATAATTTCCCCATTCAGCATGCTCCGAGAATTTTGTGGCTGACTCAGGCACGTTCACCTCTCCAAACTACCCGAATGGCTACCAGAACAACTTGAGATGTACTTTCACCTTGACACCTGTCACCCCCGGGGCTATGCTTAGACTCGTGTTTGACGACTTCAGCACAGAGAAGGACAGAGATGGCGTGGAGGTAGTAACACACACATGAGGAGAAATATTCTGTGTCATTCGTAACTACTCGGCTCTTTCCGTGACCCACAAGAAGACTCGTACCTGTATAGACTATATAGTACGCCATTATTGCCAAGAATCGTGGCAAAAGAATCGAAGTAAAACGCATTTTGCAGCATTATCCAACTTTGAAACTTCGCTAAACTATGTAAAGCACGATTTAAACATAAACTTTGAGCTCAAGGATGAGCAAGTTTCAACACTGAAACATCTTTAGGAAGGGAATGACTGTATAGCTGCTTTGAACACGGGATATGGGGTAGTCTAGGAGTAGCCATGTTTGAGAATTTAGAGTTATCTTTCCTTGGAAAGAATTCATCTCCTTTGCCCGTTTGCGCTTAGACAAGGCCCAGTCGTGAACATGGCCACGAGAGGGGAACGAGTCGCCATCGGGCTTGCCGGAATGACACGAGTAGTTACGAATGGTTCTGTGTATTACGATTCTCAGTGGTTATGGGGTATCCGATGCCCTGGACTCACCTTCCACTCAGGTTTCGTTTCGGAAAAATGTTATTTTTGGGAAACTAGATGCTGATCAAACTGATTAAAAAAATCAAATGTTACTGAGTTGCCTCCCCTTTGGTGGCAATTATTCCTGAACATTACCATTCGCATCTTTCCGTACACGTAACGAAAAGAACAATTGGTTTGTCTCGGTTGGCGACAATGACTAATCAGGTTTCACAAATTTATCTGCAAAAGATTTACCACTCTTTTACTTTTATCATACATTTGATTATCAGCTGAAAACATCTCAAGATACCACAAAAGCCAACTGTGCTGGTCCACACTCAAATAATACTTCTGCGTGGCTTCAACTCTTCAAATATAATTTGATGTACTTCATTTTGAAAATAAATAGAGTATATTCGCATAACACATTGCTGCATCTCAGACTTCAGTCATTAAAAATAATTAAATTTTCTTGGTACATTTTTTCAAAATTTCACTTTGAACCTGTCCAATTTTACACAAAATTACTCAGCCACAAATTACTTATAGAAATATTCGAGGAATGAGTGGTGGTTAAAGACAAGTCTTTTAGTTTCCATTTACATAAAAATATTCGGTGTACTTTCATTTTTTCGGTAGTCATCTAGTTGGATGGTCGGGTCCATCACTTGACTATCCGTCTCAATTACAGGCCGCCGAAGCATGGGAAACGGCAACAAACAAATACTTTGTTCTTCATGCATATTGTGAGTGTGTGGGGCCAGCGCTAGGCCACTCTTGTCCTTCATGCATATTGTGAGAGTGGGTGGGGCCAGCGCTAGGCCGCTCTTGTCCTTCATGGATATTGTGAGAGTGGTTGGGGCCAGCGCTAGGCCGCTCTTATCCTTCATGGATATTGTGAGAGTGGGTGGGGCCAGCACTAGGCCTCTCTTATCCTTCATTCATATTGTGAGAGTGGGTGGGGACAGCGCTAGGCCGCTCTTATCCTTCATTCATATTGTGGTAGTGGGTGGGGCCAGCGCTAAGCCACTCTTATCCTTCATGCATATTGTGAGAGTGGGTGGGGCCAGCGCTAGGCCGCTCTTATCCTTCATGCATATTGTGAGAATGGGTAGGGCCAGCGCTAGGCCACTCTTATCCTTCATGCATATTGTGAGTGTGGGGTGGGGACAGCGCTCTTATCTTCATGGATGCTCTTATCTTTCATGCATTGTGAGAGTGGGTGGGGCCAGCGCTAGGCCGCTCTTGTCCTTCATGCATTGTGAGAGTGGATGGGGCCAGCGCTAGGCCGCTCTTGTCCTTCATGCATTGTGAGAGTGGATGGGGCCAGCGCTAGGCCGCTCTTGTCCTTCATGCATATTGTGAGAGTGGGTGGGGCCAGCGCTAGGCCGCTCTTGTCCTTCATGCATATTGTGAGAGTGGGTGGGGCCAGCGCTAGGCCGCTCTTGTCCTTCATGCATTGTGAGAGTGGGTGGGGCCAGCGCTAGGCCGCTCTTGTCCTTCATGCATTGTGAGAGTGGGTGGGGCCAGCGCTAGGCCGCTCTTATCCTTCATGCATTGTGAGAGTGTGGATGGGGCCAGCGCTAGGCCGCTCTTATCCTTCATGCATATTGTGAGAGTGGGTGGGGCCAGCGCTAGGCCGCTCTTGGCATCCTTCATGCATATGTGAGAGTGGATGGGGCCAGCGCTAGGCCGCTCTTGTCCTTCATGCATTGTGAGAGTGGGTGGGGCCAGCGCTAGGCCGCTCTTGTCCTTCATGAACATGGTGGTGGTGGTGGTGGAATTGGGTTTAACGTCGTGCTTGAGAATATTTCGCTCATATGACGACGTGCATGCGTGTGTATGTGCGGCTGCTTGTACTAGCCCAGACTTAAGCTGGTTTTATAGTGCTTGCCCACTGAGATATCATGCCGCAGTGAAGCATGGATACCCCACTCAGACACATTATACTGACTGCGAGCCGACCAGTCCTTGTTGTACCCATTAATGCCGAGCGCCAGGCAGGGACCAACAAGTACAATATTTTAACGTCTTTTGGTATGAAGCGGTCGGGGATCGAACCCGCTACCTTCCGCACTCCGGGCGGACGCTCCCACAACGACACCACTGAGGCGGTCCCTTCATGCATATTGTGAGAGTGGGTGGGGCCAGCGCTAGGCCACTCTTATCCTTTATGCATATTGTGAGAGTGGGTAGGGCCAGCGCTTGGCCGCTCTTATCCTTCATGCATATTGTGAGAGTGGATGGGGCCAGCGCTAGGCCACTCCTATCCTTCATGCATATTGTGAAGGGGGGTGGGGCCAGCGCTAGGCCGCTCTTATCCTTCATGCATATTGTGAGAGTGGGTGGGGCCAGCGCTTGGCCGCTCTTATCCTTCATGCATATTGTGAGAAAGGGTGGGTGGGGCCAGCGCTAGGCCAGCTCTTATCCTTCATGCATATTGTGTGAGTGGATGGGGCCAGCGCTAGGCCACTCTTTGTCCTTCATGCATATTGTGAGAGTGGATGGGGCCAGCGCTAGGCCGCTCTTATCCTTCATGCATATTGTGAGAGTGGATGGGGCCAGCGCTTGGCCACTCTTATCCTTCATGCATATTGTGAGAGTGGATGGGGCCAGCTAGGGCCACTCTTATCCTTCATGCATATTGTGAGAGTGGGTGGGGCCAGCTAGGCCGCTCTTGTCCTTCATGCATTGTGAGAGTGGATGGGGCCAGCGCTGGGGCCAGCTTGTCCTTCATGCATATTGTGAGAGTGGGTGGGGCCAGCGCTAGGCCGCTCTTGTCCTTCATGCATATTGTGAGAGTGGATGGGGGAATTGCGCTAGGGCCGCTCTTGTCCTTCATGGATATTGTGAGAGTGGATGGGGCCAGCGCCAGGCCGCTCTTGTCCTTCATGCATATTGTGCTTAGTGGATAAGGCCAGCGCTAGGCCACTCTTATCCTTCACTGAGATACCATGCCGCAGTGAAGGGGGATGGGGCCACTCAGAGCCATTCATGCTAGGCCAGAGTTGGGGCCAGTCCTTGTTGTACCTTCATGCATATTGTGAGAGCAGATGGGGCCAGCGCTAGGCCACTCTTATCCTTCATGGATATTGTGAGAGCGGATGGGGCCAGCGCTAGGCCCGCTCTTATCCTTCATGCATATTGTGAGAGTGGATGGGGCCAGCGCTAGGCCACTCTTATCCTTCATGCATATTGTGAGAGTGGGTGGGGCCAGCGCTAGGCCATCTCTTATCCTTCATGCATATTGTGAGAGTGGATGGGGCCAGCGCTAGGCCAGCTCTTATCCTTCATGCATATTGTGAGAGTGGGTGGGGCCAGCGCTAGGCCACTCTTATCCTTCATGCATATTGTGAGAGTGGGTGGGGCCAGCGCTAGGCCGCTCTTATCCTTCATGCATATTGTGAGAGTGGGTGGGGACAGCGCTAGGCCGCTCTTATCCTTCATGCATATTGTGAAAGTGGGTGGGGCCAGCGCTTGGCCGCTCTTATCCTTCATGCATATTGTGAGAGTGGATGGGGCCAGCGCTAGGCCACTCCTATCCTTCATGCATATTGTGAAAGTGGGTGGGGCCAGCGCTAGGCCGCTCTTATCCTTCATGCATATTGTGAGAGTGGATGGGGCCAGCGCTAGGCCAGCGCCAGGCCGCTCTATCCTTCATGCATATTGTGAGAGTGGATGGGGCCAGCGCTAGGCCGCTCTTATCCTTCATGTATATTGTGAGAGTGGGTGGGGCCAGTGCTTGGCCGCTCTTATCCTTCATGCATATTGTGAGAGTGGATGGGGCCAGCGCTAGGCCACTCCTATCCTTCATGCATATTGTGAGAGTGGGTGGGGCCAGCGCTAGGCCGCTCTTATCCTTCATGCATATTGTGAGAGTGGATGGGGCCAGCGCTAGGCCACTCTTATCCTTCATGCATATTGTGAGAGTGGGTGGGGCCAGCGCTAGGCCACTCTTATCCTTCATGCATATTGTGAGAGTGGGTGGGGACAGCGCTAGGCCGCTCTTATCCTTCATGCATATTGTGAGAGTGGGTGGGGCCAGCGCTAGGCCGCTCTTATCCTTCATGCATATTGTGAGAGTGGGTGGGGCCAGCGCTAGGCCGCTCTTATCCTTCATGCATATTGTGAGAGTGGTGGGGCCAGCGCTAGGCCGCTCTTATCCTTCATGCATATTGTGAGAGTGGGTGGGGCCAGCGCTAGGCCGCTCTTATCCTTCATGCATATTGTGAGAGTGGGTGGGGCCAGCGCTAGGCCGCTCTTTTCCTTCATGCATATTGTGAGAGTGGGTGGGGCCAGCGCTAGGCCGCTCTTATCCTTTGGCACCAGGTGTCATCACTAGGTTTCAGTGATCCATTTATCATATTTAACCGTTACTTAGCCTTTTACCTCCAGTAGAATTCATTTATGCATTGTGCCCATTCAAGAATCGAACCTGGCCTTAGCCGTGATAAGCCAGCGATTTAACCATTCGACTAACCCCACCCCTGTCATCTGAATAAATAGTGTGTCAACAACTACAATGTTAATTTCAGATCTACGACAAGAACGATAAACTAGTGGCCGGCATCAGTGGTGGCCGGTACAGATGGGTAGTCATAGCTACCATGTCCTACTACAGGGTCGTCTTCATCTCCGACGGATCCATCATGTATCCCGGCGTCAGTGCGTTTTGGTCAAGTGAGTGACCTAGTATTATTTGGAGAGTGAGTGTGTTGGTTGGTTAATGTCGCTTTAACAGTGACCCGGTCATCTCGCGGCTGGCCTGCTTAATGACCCGACATGATGCAGGTCTCACGAGCATCACATCGGTGAAACTGAGGAGCAGGGGTATGGGGCTCACGAGGCTAGAAACATCAGCTGGGAGAATCAGTATTCGACCCGGTCATACGTTTCTGACGTCCCAAAACTAGGAAACTTTGTACAATAAATAACGGCACCTTAGACGACAGGGCCACTTATAACAAGTTGGCAATATCGTAGTATCGAAAATCGTGATACGTTATCCAACGATAAATATATCGATACTTTTTTCGTATCGTGATATGCATCGTTGACCTTAAAATTGTTGATTTTTTCTGGAATTTGACGGTTATTTAAAAAAATTATACTGTTACTTGCTATCAAAATATACTTTTTAAAAGAAAATAACTAACGATAGCATATCGCGATATGCATCGAATCGAATCGTATCGTTCCAAAATATGGCGATACGTATCGTTTCGTGAAATTTCTGTATCGTCACACCACTACTGTGTATAATCGTCTGGATCAGACAAACGAGTGACTGACATTATTATTATCATCAACGTCTCACGTTGAAGCAGCACAAAGGAGTTACCGGTGCCGGTGGCCTGGGAGGCTGCTCAAATCAATCACAGGGTTGTCTGGTCCAGGTTATAGATTATCATTAGATCAATATATAGAACTATCAGATCAGGAATTCCGTGTTAGGAAGCTGGACGACCCCGAGATGCTTCACAAGGATGTCATATCTTTAGACGTCTTGAAAATATGAACACAGTTGTGTATAAGTCGCCGGCGTGTTGATGGAATAGTACTTAAGTGATATTAGAAATGATGAATTATATGAAGGTATCGCATTGCATTCGTCAGAAATATCTGTGACAGAAAGAGAGAGTATGTAAACATGTTTTCATTATTATTGATCCTGACATCGATGGAATTTTTGTCTTTGAGATACCAAACGAACTGTTTTCCATATCCTTTAAACGACAAAGAAACACGATCAAGTCGTCATTGTATAGTTTTCTATATTTTCCCTATGGAAAGGCGTGACCTGACCGATTTATTCTGTTTCAGTGGCGCCATCATCGGAAGCATTTGACTACCAGGTTGCCATGGCAACTTCATGTCCAGTCCATGGACTGTTTCAACCAATTCCTCAAAAGAACGGGATTAGAGTGCTGGAGATTATGCTAGAGATGACCTTCCATAAATGTATGCTTCTGTGTAACGTTTTACCAAAGTGCTCCTTTTTCGAGTTTTATGTCCCTACAAGCACATGTTACGCCTATGAAACGGAAGCAAGTCACACGTACATGTATCCTAAACTGTTTGAGAAGGTTACAAGTCCTTAGAGCAATCAGTGGTGTCCGAAGCAGTGGAGCATAAACTGTCTGGTGGAAAAGGCACAAACATCCGTGTTTGAACGCTGCTAGAATGAAAACAGTCGCAGCAACATAGCGAAAAATACCCACCATACAGCTATGACACAAATCAAATAAAATAATCACCATCGAAAAAACATCTCTTGTTTCATCAGTTTCGCGTGACCGGCAGTCTATATCAGACCCGTTTGCAACTTTTGCTATACTATTGACATAAATTATACGGGCATTGGCGTAGCCTTCAACACCTTAACTTACTGGTGGGCACTACACTACATGTTATTAGGACCAGAATGGGTTTTATCAGAAGTGCTATATTTTCTGACGCATGATTGTAATTAGAATCAATACAGTAATGAACAGCCCACTAAGGGGATCAGTATAGGAGATTGAAGTGTCAGAATGAGGTATAAGCGGTGTTTGATTCAGGTCATATAGCAGGTCCTGCAATGTGGATTCTTGTCAGTCAAACACCTCTTACATACGATATAAATGTACATGTAAATACAGAATTTGTTTTTTTCCCTTTATTACCAAGAAAATAGATATTAAGCATTAATTTCATGATATAAGCCAGGAACAATGCATGGTACTGTTTGAAAAGTATTCAAGCTGGGAGACATTGAATTATCCGACACGCTGTATAATCCGACATTTTTTCCCGGTCCCAGTGAGTGTCGGATTATACAGAGTCCACTGTACTTGTGAACCAAGGCTTTTTGTGATTTATGGATTTTTCCTCTTTTCCACTTAATTTCTTTTTGGGTACTGAAATGTAACGGGGATGGAACGACACAACTCCGATGAGGCTGCAAGTTCCTTTTTATTACTGTAGTTTGTATAAATACAAGTCTGAAACAATGTATATGAATATATAACACTCCATCAAAATACCTATTTTATCACATCCTTTCCATTGCACATTGTTCAGATAATTAACAACCATAGCACTACCACTGAACATATAAAAAGAACTCAAAACAAATTGACATCACAAAATCAATGTCTCAGTTTCATATTAAGATCCTTAGGAATTATGGAACACATTTGACATCTTCAAAACAATGAAACATCAACGTGTCTTACCATCTATGGGACAACTTGTCTCAAACTGGCCACATGTTGTGAGGCACCAACAAAACACCAAGGACCTAAAATATGTATGTTTTAATTAGCATGGAAATGCTAATTCTCACCAGTAAAGCAAACGTACAATCTGTTTGGACTCAAACATTAATCGGAATCAATTGTAAGTGAAATTATTGACACCAACAATTTCTAACCATAGGTCAAAATATACCTCCGCCAAATGCATAAATTCAGTTACAATAAATACTGAATTAACCTTTCAACAATTAAACATATTTTTGTAGTTTATTCCTTTTATATAAAACCAAGTGTAACTAACCTGTAATTCACCAAAGTCAAAATCCTCCATCCATGACTTTCAAACCACCTTGCCAGGTTGGGAGAAAGACAGCAAGTGAACAAACTTCACACTTTCCAAATGCAACTAAATTCAACATCCAATTAAGATGCTTCACATCTTCAGCCAATAAAAACCAAGGACAAGACAGCAGACCTGACCTCATTAAGACTTGGCTAATTTGCATAGGAACTACTTTTGACCCATGACCCAGTGGTGACTATAAATAAATCATGGACTTGTGAAAATGTAAACCTTTTCACTGACAATTGTATTATTGTTTAAGGTGTTATGAACTGATTCCAAACAGGAACATAAGACAAGACATATCAAAATAGATTGCTTTTCCAGAACATTTTACAATTTGTATATTTTGTACTTGTTACACACTTGTATTTGTTACATACTTGTTTTGTACTTGTTACAGAAATATTTCAAAGAGCCAATTTGATGTACAGTTTAGTTTCGTTTCGTACATTACACTACTATTGCTGTGTTTGTTTGTTTGTTTGTTTGTTTGCTGTTTAAAGCCCCACTCAGCAATATTCCAGTTATATGATGGCTGTCTGTAAATAATAGTCTGGACCAGACAATCGTGTGATTAGCATTATGAATATCTGCAAAATTGGGATGCGATGACAAGCATCAGCCAGTCAGCGAGTCTGACCACCCGATCCCCTTAGTCGCTTCTAACGACGAGCATGTGTTCCTGTAGACCACCACTGCTGTGTAAACATTGGAATTATTATAATTATCTTCTGAATACGCAATGAATATGTGAACACAGACTTCAGGCAAATACAATGTGGTGAGCGAATTATACATGGTTTTGTAAATGAATAACTTCGTTTAAATAAAAATCAAAATGGATGTGATATTTCGGTTTTTTTCCTAAATCTTAAAATGGCATTTATTTCCAAAGGTTTTCCGTCCATTTCATTGAACTGTGCCACAACTACTTTTAAGAAACCCAAACCAGATGGATCATGGATTCAACTTCAGCATTGCAAAATGTCATTACGGGTAGAGTAAATAGTATACTTTAAAGACGTTTAGAAGTTAAATGTTATAGAAGTTTTCAGGATTACATGTACCACCCGGCTCTGAAACCTTTTTAGTGATATCGGTTGTTCGAAAAGCGGCAACATCATATGACGTCCACCCGTTTCTGGATTCAATTTCAGTTTCCCATTTCGTTTCAATGCGAACCTTCTTCGTTGTCATTTAAAATGTTTACTAAATTTGAATACATATTCTAAGGCAAATGTTATTGTGACATACAAACAACAAGCAGAATCAGTATTGAGGTTCTTGAGGGGCATTTAGAAGTTGGTGTTCAAGTAAAACGCAAATATTATGGATGACAACTTCTTTATTGTGTCACAACGTTTCTGGGCTATTCCTTGCCCCTTCGTCAGGTGAATTGTGAATCAGTGTTGAACTTCAACTGCCTCGAATAAAATGTTATTACGTGGAAATTACGGTAACGATCAACAGTCCACAAGAAGAGCGCACGTGGCATATGCAAATGAGGCACATTGCATGAGAGGGTTCACGTGCAAGGTCCCACTGTCAGTAGCTAGTGTATCACATTATACATTGATGAAGGAGAGTCACCTTCGCCTCATTGAGGCCTAGGCAAGATCATTCCATATCCGAGGGAGTTCTTGTAGTGTTGTTGGTGGATTCGTTGACGTCGTTGGTGACGTCATAAACGTCGCTCCATTTCATCCCAGGATGTAAGAATGTAAATTATTTTTCCCCGAGCGCCATGGATATGCATAACTGTGGTGATGTTATGTAATCAGTCTTAAAGACCTGTACAATGTATACTCAGAGGCAAAGGGTATAGTGAAATGGAATTTGTTCATAAGTAATCTTGTGGTTTTGGATCCGAACCAGGGAAGAAACGCAATCAAGCAGATGCTGTTCGAACTGCACGAAAACAACAAATATACAAACACACTCTTGAATGGCCATTAGAAGTCGAATTTACCACGTATTTGTACGATGCCGTTACATGCGACAGTGCCGTTAGCACGCAGGGACACATTTTACACATTCTGTCTGGCTATTGACACTGCTTCTGTCGTTCTGCAAACAGGAATCAGTTAAACATTGCCTGTCCCCATTTCCTTGTGTTCCAGTAAATTCTCTCGAAATTCTCAAACCAAAAAAAGAGTCTCATTCACCTATTCAGACAATAACCTACTTTTCAGCCGATCCAAATTTTCTCGTGTGAAAGTGAAAACAGACATAAAAAACAACTATGGTTACACAGAATTGCAATTTCTTGTTTCATAAGAAATGGTATTTACAATTGAATTTTAATTTTAAACTTTAATAAAATCGTATTTCTATATTTTATGGCGAGGTGTAGGCAGCATTACCTTAACTAAGACGTCACAGACTGCCCCAGGTTTATGAGGTCGCAAAATAATTCACAATGCATCTGGCTCACTGGTTACACCTGTCATGTGTTTTGTGCACTTATGCAGTGTAGTTCTATAACGCACAATGTGATTGATATGATATCAAGTCCGTACCAGACCGCCAAACCTTTCTAGCGTCAGAGCCTCGTTTTGAGATTTCCACGATTTCCAGGTTTCTGTTTGTCAGTGCTCGCTGTACCACAGAGCACGCTGCACGATGTTTGCAAGGATTATAAGGAGCGTAGTGTTGCAATATACAAGTGCTCAGATGTATCAAATAATACTGATTAATATTTTTAAGTATCCAGTTAAATGAATTGGTCTCAAAACTCTGGACTGGTTATTGTACTAAGTTGCGCAATAGGATGGAACCCAGTCAACAGGAAACGCGACTGATGTGTAATCAATGTTTTGACTTGGAAAGCTCTGTAAATTAATTACTTATATCTCCTCCGTCATGCACGTTTCCTCAGTTCCAAGTTAATGTGATATCATAAAGTGTATTAAAATTCAACATGAATGAAAATTCAGAACTAAAGTTTGGTTACCTTTCGTTAAATGTTTCAAGATCTTTCAATGTTTCCATGAACTTGTGAAGAGCAAGCTTTTACTGGCGGTCTTCTGGAAATGTAATTCTTAAGAGTTACGTCCCTTAGATCCACATACGCACGTGGGAAGACAACCTGTTGACAACTCGAAACTGATGTTTATTTCCGATGTGACGCGCCTGTAAGAAAATGGACACGGTAGGTTGTTTGTTAACTTTGTCAGTTGTCTCATGTTGCAGATATGTGGAGCCACGGGCATTGAACAGCTGATTCCTGGGAAAGGATTGTCAACTGTTCTGGAGCCCCGTTAGGAAGAATAATACAATCAACACGATCAAGAGATGACCTCGCTGCATCTCTCGGCTGTGTGCAACATTATAACTGTATTGTATATAACTACACCCGTAGACATCAAACATCATAAATATGAAGGACTGAAATGTAACCACAGAGAACATTTGTCAATAAAAGATTAATGCTTTTTCACTAGATGTTCGATCTGCCCACATTTCATTTTGTTTTTCTTTTTGTCTTGCAGGAAATTTGAAACATATTATAATGCTTATGCATCTAACATATACATTACTATAATTCTTGGCCGAGAACAGCGATGCGACCCTGTACAGTGTCATGTCTAGACTGTATAGCACCGCATCTCGGCTATATAATCCTATAAAACAAATGTTTAATCTGTTAGATTGAACAGGGATACTCTACAACAGGGATAGGTCACTCGCTTGCTTTCTTTACCATTTGTACTAATTAACGTGTGCCTTGTCATGCTCCAACGCACACACAGTGACTTGGTGCGTTCCCAGCGCAACTTCGGCTGCGTTTAACAGTACTTCAGCCAGTTTATTGTATCAGTCGGAATTTTACAACGAATGAATGAATGAATGAATTAAGAGCAAGAATCATATGTGAATGAATGAAAGAAATAAAGAAAAAGAACAAAAGAAAGAAATACATATGTGAATGAATGAAAGAATAAATGATACACCACGGCCATCCCTCCCCAAACATGTTAAAGAACGCAAAATTATCGCTAGAACACGTGTTAACATCAGCTGTCCTTTTTTAAAAATCTACTTTGAGACATTTTTACATTAGTAACTAATTCAGATATCTTATTGCATGTGTGGAATGGCATGGACATTGACAGAATGTTAACTGACACTGTCACACACACCTCAAAAACAGAAAGTTTAGAACTATCACAAAACGTTGTAAACACCTTTCCAGTTCTGTCAAATACTAACAAAAACAAGAAAGAAAGAAGTTTTAGAACTATAACACTCAAGCATCACAAGCATCAATGGTGGATCAGAACAGATCGGCGATATGTCATATTTTTCACACACCTCAAATACACCCAAACAATTTTTTTTAAATTATAATACTATCACTATTACTTGCAAACACCTTTCACCTGATGGTATATTCCCCTCATAAAAATTAAAGGTGTATGTGAAAGATGTTTTAGAACAATAACTAGAAACACTCAAACAACGCCCTGTAGTATTTCAATGGCAGATCGTCGATATGTCATACTTAATACACAATTTTTTTTAGTTATAAAACTATCACTATTACTTGCAAACACTTTTCAACTAAAGGTATATTTCCCTTCTAAAAATAAAACGAATATGTGAAAGAAGTTTTTAGCGATAGAATCTACTCTTTCTTCGGGCTGTGTACTGAGAATTGAAGCCAGTGAGCTACAACATGATTGAATAACATTCTAATATGTTTGTTCTCACTCATTGTTTGCCTTAAAATGTTTCCATATCACATCAATGAAATGTATATATATTTTTGCTGTTTCAGGAAGATCCTGCTGGAAACATGACAGGCAGTGGGTTACCTGGCATCACTGTCAATGGTCAGCCGAAGAATTACTTTGCCAGCTATGAGGATCTCTCCATTCATGAACTGATGCTGAAGGATTTCCCTCGTACGCAGGCATACAAGAAGTTCTTTGAGGAGAATGCTCCCCACTTTAAGGATAAGGTAGTTTTAGATGTTGGAGCTGGCACTGGGGTCCTGAGTCTGTTTGCTGCATCTGTTGGAGCTAAGAAAGTATATGCAGTTGAAGCTAGCAAGATGTCGGAACTCTGTAAAGAGATTGTGAAGTGTAATGGGTTTGAGGACAAAGTGGAAGTGTTCAGCTGCCCAGTTGAGGAGTTGTCACTGCCAGAGAATACAAAAGTGGATGTTTTAGTATCTGAATGGATGGGTTTCTATTTGTTACATGAAGCCATGCTTGATTCTGTCATTTATGCAAGAGATAAATTTCTTGCCTCAGATGGCATAATGGCCCCTTCCAGAGCAACACTGTATGTGGCACCAACAGATATGGACTCGTATCATTCCAGTCACGTGGAGTACTGGAAAAACGTTTATGGGTTTGACTTCTCCTCAGTGATTCCATCTGTGACGCAAAAGTTCCAAAAGGAACCTGTGATTTCAGAAATACAGTCCGCAGAACTGCTTGCATCAGCACAAAAAGTTGTTGAACTTGATTTAAAAACTGTTGTGCTTACTGATGTGCAAAAGATAAGCCAACAGCTTGATATGAAGATGGACAAATCTGGGGTATTGCGTGGATTTGCATCTTGGTTTGATGTTGAGTTCTCTCCCCTTGACAGTTCTGTGGCATGTGGTGTGCTGAGTACATCCCCGAATTCTCCTCTGACACACTGGAAACAGACAGTATTCATGCTACCAGAGGAGATCCCCATAGATACAGGGGATGAGATAAGCACCCTTGTGGAGCTCTCACAGGATGAAGCTAACAAACGCCACTACAACATATCAATTGAGCTTCTGGATATGGACGATGAATACAGTGATGAGGATGACCACCCTGTGCCATGTGACTGTGGAGCAGCCGGTGCCGCCTCATCAAGAAAGTGATGGATACGTACGATGAAGAACACCGTGAACTGGAGGCGGAGGCAGACAGTGTCAATGTGGAGGCAGAAACTGAAGCAGTCAGAGTGATGGACTCTGAAATGAGCTTGGAAAGTAGTGACCTAGAAGTCATTGATCAGTAGATGGGATGTTTAAGTCAAGATTGCCTAAACGTTTGTTTGTCTACCAACTGAGCATCAGTCTCAGAGTATCATGATATTGTTCTTAGGGGCCCTTTGCCCTCATGCCTGATGCAGCTGGCTGACAGCTGTAACCAAAACAATGCTTTGACGTTCTACATGTTCAAATGATATATGTATCTTCATATTTAATGTATGCACAAAGTAACGAAACCATAACCTAGTCAAAATATCAAAGTGTGTTATGTCATGTTATGCCAAAAGCTGCTTAGGGGGTGAAAATGAAAGATAAAAATCACGAAGTATCAAAATTGTGTTTTATAGCTGAAACAAGTATTTGTAAGCATCATTAGGTTTAGCCACAAGCAATATGGTTGTTTAGCATTTACTGGTAGTGAATTGATCTGATTACAAGCAAAGAAATTTAAGAATCTGTTTGTTATATTGTTGGAATTTGATGTTTTAAGAAAATAAACATGATCAAAGGTAAAGTTTATTCAACTAGTAAAATTGTGATTTAGTGTTCTGTGTTGCTGTTTTTGCAAGTGACTGACAAGATGATTGCATCACACCTTGACATTCTTCACTTCAGTTCTGTTATCGGATTATGGCCCTACTGAGGGTCTCAAGGTTAGTTTCAAGTAAGTGAATATCTAATGATTCCACATATCCAACAGTAGCGAGTCTGGGTTAAAACAGGTCCCCATTGATATACACTTGTTTGAGGTGGCAACACAATGATAGACCACCGTCAGAAATCCTTAAGACACAGTACAATTTAAGTCTGATAAAATTCTCCTTTTAGAATTGTTTACAAACTATGTGAGTATGTCTTTATGAATCCTGTGTGAACATATTTTTCAATTGATAAACTGATTTGAAATATTATATATATTCTTCAAAAAGTATTTGACCTTTCTTCAGAGCATTATATTTTATGTGTGCTTTGTTGTGTAGTTTGTTGTCTAAAGCAGCATTCTGCAAGTTTCCAGCTATATGATGGCAGTCTGTAAATAATCACGTCTGCACTAGACAATCCGGTGATCAACATCATGAGCATCGTTATATGCAACTGGGATACGATGACATGTGTCAACCAATTTAGGGAGCCTTACCACCTGATCTGTCTCTTACGACAGGCATGGGTTGCTGAAGACCAACTGTTACCCGAACCCGGTCTTAACTAATTTCCACACTAAAACTGCAACTAATTTAACACTAAAACTAACCATAATAATCTTCACTTGTCTCTCACAATGATATAAACACCGATCAAATCTTACAGTATATGATAGCTGTATGCTGTTGCTAAACATTACAGTCTGTACTCGGGTGTATTATTGCTGTAAAAATATTTCACTTGGCATCCTGTACGGGCGAGTAACGGTAATAAGATTATTAGTCACAGACCCTGGTTTTGGTAGTACCACAGTGCATGGTAGTGTTGGAGTGCGAACACAGTTAGCTGAATACTACTTGTTTGGGCGACCATTGACTTGGACTTGCATTGTGGTTGTCTGTTTCCATGGCTTCTTTCCAATCATTTAGAAAGTGACGGGTTTCCTTAGTCATGAAATGGAAAAGTGTTCAGATTCTTCTATGTCTGTATTCAGCGGAGTGATTTCTAATGTGAACTGTTTTTGCTGATGTAGAACTAACATACTACTACTGCGTCAGATTTATGTGCGTTTGGAATGGTCAGAGAGGGAAGAGAGAGAGTGAGTATGGTTTTACAACGCTTTTAGTAATATACCAGCAATATCACATGAGGAAACCAGTAATTGGCTTCACACATTGTGCCCATGTAGGGATTTAAACCTGCATTTTTGCCTTGAGGAGTAAACGCTTTAACCACAAGGCTATGTATGCCGCCCCAAATGGTCAATTGATCCCTGGCTCAGAATCCACTGCAACAATAGCATGACATCATAATGGTTCAAAAGACTGGTATTATGTCACTGAATGGCACCCAGGTCTACCCAGTGTTCAGATGAATGACATAAGATGGACAGACTTGGCTGGAGGGACAGAAACGGCTAATTCCAAATGAGTGAGTGAGAGTTTTATTTTACACCGCTGTTAGCAATGTTCCAGCAAAATCACGGCGGGGGGACATAAGAAATGGTCTTCATACATTGTGCCCATGTGGTGAATCGAACCCGGATCTTCAGCGCGACGAACGCGACGCTTTAACCACTAGGCTACCCCACCAATTCCAAATGAGCTTCAAACAAGTTAGAGAATGGTTCATCCTGTGATATTTTTTGCTTGCTTGTTGTTTAAGGCAGCACTCAGCAGTAGTCAAGCTGTATTATGGCGGTGTGATGATATCAATTGTAATACAGTGATGTGTCAGAGAGCTTGACCACCTGATCCTGTTAGTCGTCTCATGCGACAAGCATGGGTTGAAGATCCCCAGGTTTAACCTTCATAGGTGTAGAAGTAACTGGTTAAACTGGATTAAATGATACACTGTACCATGTCACACTATGTGCACAATACGCATGGGGTGCCTTCTCATCAGAGACCATGTAATAAACCTATTCTTCTCCACAGCATTCTTGATTTCCTGGAGACAGACACTGCCCTATTGGATTGTTAATGATGTTAGGTGTTGCGAGGATGAAATACGAGTTGATTACGCACTGCATGTTATGAAGTGTAGACATACTATGCTGGTACATGTGACTGATTCATAAAGATGCTGCCATTAGCACTCTTGAAACCGTTTCATGTTGTACTTCGTTTCACAGAGTGTTTTGGTTCTGATTGTCATGAGTGAATTTGTTAACATAGGAATAATCACATAGTAGCTCGGGGCTGGAAGTGGATCTTTTTCTGTCGCTATACCATGTTTAGGTGTGTTCTTATTAAAAATGTTGGGATGGACTATTTTTAGTGTTAGACCTTAACATTATCCCGTGGCTAGTACAAATCTCCCCTTACTTTCAACCATAGGTGTGCATTTTTTCTTATCAAAGATAGTAAACTTCTTAGATTATTAGTGGCAACTGGCTGCAACTTTGTATTTCCCAGAGAAAGGTTTCAGGCAGCATCTGTCAAAATGTTTCTGGGAGGCAGAATTTTCATAAGTAAGACGACAAAATCTGTTTTCTCAGTGACCTTTAATTCCATGTCTTAATTTCTATGCCAACCAGTGCTTTATTATTCATTCTGTCTTTTTGAGCCATCTTTTCAAACCTGTTCTAATAATTATTAGTGAGTGAGTTTAGTTTTACTCTGCTCTCAGCAATATTCCAGCTATATGTGGTGGTCTGTAAATAATAGAGTCTGGACCAGACAACCCAGTGACCCAACAGCATGAGCATCGATCCTGACGTGGTGTCCGTTTAGCTATGATCTTTTCTCTAATTTCGGATTGAGAAAAAACACAATACTATCAAGAAAAGTATGCATGTGCAGTGAACAACATTTAATGTTTTCCATCCTTTAGACTGTATACTTCCATTCATCTTACAACAGACCATAGTCTTATGTAAGGACTATTATAAGGTCAGTGGACAAGACTAATGGACATTTTCAGACACTGGACTAGTGACTTCTATCAGTCTGGAATTCCTGGGCAGATTATGTATCCAGAGCTTAATGCTTGCAATACATCTATTCACTCACACCAGAGTATGACAGGTCCAAGAGAAGGTGACTACTGGTCACTGCTTTGCACAATGAAGGTAAACCCAGAGAAGACAAAAGCTTGGTGTATACTGTAAACATGTTTAATTTCCATACAAGGCATTCATTGTGACAGTTCTGTTTATCCCACCCTGTTGTCCTCTACCATCTTGGAAAGGAAGGAAGGAAGGGAGGGATGGAGATGGTGATGACCTCCTCACACAACACACAGCTGTCGTCTATACACATTATACACTTATACACCACTGGCCAGTCTAATGCACTCCTCAGTCAGGGGAAGATACTGAAGCTCTCAGTCATCACAATGCACTTTTTTCCCTAAAAATTCCTTACATTCTTTTAGCACTACATTGCCGGCAAAGAAAACATATTCGAAAAAGTCACCAATGAGCTTCCTCTTACAAATCCCCCGACTTTGGTTGCTGTTCATCGACATTAATATTATTGCACTGAGAAATCCTGAAGACCGAACATGGATCTATCGAGATTCCATGCCCCAACAACTTAGGTCAGAGATTGCTGTTTAAAAACAATCACACGACAATTGTCAGCAAAGGAAATATAACAATTAATAGACACTTAAGCAATTGATTGTAAGATCGAAGACAAAAGATACTATATGAGGTAAATATTTTTTCTACTTTAATTTGTGAGCCTTAATTCAATCAAGTTTGGATTATATCGCAGGAAACCTAACAAATAACTTTTATGTTCTGGAACTAATATTAGCCTGAGCTAGACTGATACCGAAAGCCACAATGTAGTTTCATCTGAAGTTTTATGTCTGACAATCACTAAATAGATCAAAAATATATTTAAAAAAGAAGTCATCTTGACCAACAGTGTAATACTGCAATATCACTTATGACATTTGGTATCAGTACACCCAAATGTTGTCATTACACAAGTAGAAAATCCTTGAATAACTAACACAGATGGCATAGCAAAAGGCTTGCAAGATGCAGTATGTTGTGTGTTCAAGGCTGAACAGTAGCCACAAGTTGATACAGCAGATACAACCTTACTAAGCAAGATGCAAACCTGTGTCTAACAGTATGTGTCAGCATTTTCCAGAATTCTTCCACTGAATTGTTACTTGGCAGTTTAATATAACCATGGCAACATCAATGTACATGTAAAGTCATTTACATTGAAAATGTACTTAAATTCAAAAGAAATTTCGTGTGGATAGTACGAATATCCCAACAATTCTACATTAACTTACAGTTTCTATAGCACCTTGTTCTTACAATACAAATTTCACAACAATCAAATTTGTTCATCAATTCCTAGCACAAAATCCCCCAATGAGAGGAACACTCCATTGAAAACATGTCACGAGGAAACAGGCGTGATGATGGTTCTTACTGCGACAGTGACATACACAACAGCACACAGCTACCACTACACTGGACTAGAATGTCACCAGATGTAGAATCTTGCTATAAAGTGAGTGAAAATAAAGCTGTCGGTATTTTTTAAAGGGATCAGGTTTCTTCAAGAGTAACTTTAATTGTTTTCTGATAAGTTAGCACATATCTAAGAATGTCAAGCATAAACTACTTCAGAAGACAATTGGTGGGCTCTGTTTTTCAAGTATCTGCTTTATAACAGATACAAAATCTGAATTCTATGTTTTCATGAGATAAGAAGAATATGACATTGTACAACAACCTAGAGATCTGTAAAACCCTGTTAGCTACACACTGTACAAACTAAAACATGGGCAGTAAGAACCATAATTCTATACAAACTTTTACATATCTACAAATATACAATGGTCATTCGAGATCCTACATTTGGTCAATGAAACATTTCTTGATATATCTTCCTTATTCAGATTTAAATATATTTATATGTGTAAACAAGAACAACTTCATAAACAATCAATTGCAAATGCCTTAATCTGGATTCAAATTGGGCCTAAATTTCATACATCTACGGAGATGGTATTTTAGACAGATGGTATTTCAGACAGCGTTTTCTTCTAATTTTTAACGAACATATTTATTTATATTGCTTTCATAGAAATGCAACTGGCTTGCAAATGTGTATGTGGCTGAAATATTCCATGTGCAGTTGAATGATTATGCGATGATATAATGTTAGTATAATAAATATATGAATGATAACACCATGAAACCAACAAGGTGATGCTTGTTGCATCGGACCCAACAAACCCCTAGTCACATACCGGTAAATAGCTCACGTGAAATACTCAATAGGGTATTTTGTCAACAAACACATCCAACCTGCAGCGTTTGACAAGTACAACAGCTCAATATGACATGCTCACAGCTTGTATATATGTCTGTATGTTAATTCCCCTGCTCATTCCCAGGGTTTCCATATCCAGACTGGAAAGGAATTTACAGTAATGTTTGAATATTGAAACAGATGTCGGAGTTGGTATTCCAGCTTTTTATAAACATGGACCAAATTTCTGAGAATATTTGACTGAATGAATTTATCTGCTCTATAAACTCCAGTTACATGCAGCCTGATAGATATTATCGTTAGTGCACACATCCCTGACAATGGCAGTGTTGATGAACATGCAACCCACCACATGATACAAGGCTAGAAATTATGGTCTGTTCAAACAGAACACCCTGTCATCAGCAAGTCAAAAGTATTTCCCTTGTAGCATCAAAATCCAAAAATAACAATAAAAATATTAAGTTATTGCATTTAGGATGTTCAAATGCCATTAGCTTGGTACCAACAATGAACAAAATGTCAGAAGCAGTCATGATTTCTTCTTTCTACTTCTTGCCACACTTAATTTCCAGCCCTGTGATATCAACAAGAATATTTCAAACAACACAGCGCAGTACAAGCAAAGCATAAGAAAATGTTTGAAAATCACCAAAGTTGTCACCACTGACTAGATACATGGAAGCCCAATTCAGCACAGCTTCATTGAAACTGTGCTAAAACTAATTCAGAGTGGTGATAAGGTGACAGACTAACTTACACGCTAGAAGATTCTGTTAATATTTTAGTAAAGGTTTTCTTTGTTTTTGACATTAACAAATGCTTATCATGGCATACCATGACATCCTGTTTACATACAAATACAATAAAGAAGTTATCTCCCCTACATACATGCAATAAAGAAATTATCTCCCCTGCCACATCAAAGACGATATCCCATAGCAGCCACTGCATTCCTGGTAGTGCAGCACACTAGATGTACTTTCCCTGGATGGTGTAATGATGGGACTCAACCTCAGTAGCAGTACACAAGGAACAAAATGGCTCCTACTGACACATACTCAGATGCAGGGGAAGGGTTCTAAACTTGAGACAAAACTCCTCACTTGCATAAACTAGTCACAGAAACAAACCAATCTTGGGACACAAATGCCAGTTTGAGGGTATTGTGTTTGGTGTATGGCACCTTGTACTGGGAACTAGATTCTACACACTGGGACACGGTGCGTACTGGTTGTCATGACAAAGAATTAGGCAGGCCATGCTGAGATATACTTCACTGGGTCACACTTGATGGACTTTGTACTTATGTCGGTGGAGTGGTGCGATATAATTCTGATCCATATTACTAAAATCCTTTTAAAATCTGTGTATCTGAAATTTCAATTGGAGCAATATTGTGCACCAGATCAGATTCTATGTCTATAATGCTGGACAGTGACAATACTGAAAACTGATACATGGACAGATTTACAGTTTTGATTTGGGCCGAATGTTGTACAAATCCATCCGACATCATGCCACTAAAACCCCAGGCTCACATTCTGTGGACTGAAACCTTGATTTGCATAGATAAAACATTCACAGGAAGTGAACTAACTGGCCTGTTCAGGTCGAAGGTCTTTGCTTGTACTGCCATCGCTGTGGACAAGAAAACACATTGCACATCTCACTCCATTCAGTCTATCATGGAGAATTCACCAGGATGCACTACACACGCACCAGTTGTAACAGTGATCACAAACTCCCATCATGCACCAGCAATGCAAGTCATGTGGCTGGTATAGGTTACCATGGTTACACAGATAACAGTTTGACGCGTATGTCAAATCGTGTAACAAAAATGATTTGTGGCTTGCGTCTACCCTGGTAATACTCTCTCAAATCTTTCACCATAAAGCTAGATGGATGAGAACTCACATTCAAAAACTCTGGTCATGTTCTGGGCTTGGTGTAAGAATCATTGATGTACATGAATTTCAACCGATCAAACTGCCAAGAATGCTCGGATGCATACTGTGGTGAAACCACTGAAGGTTTAGCGTGCAATGACATGTGCCTAGCTTCACACAGTGTTTACTCCTAGTTAATGCAGTCATTCCACCCAACATTAGAGAACCGAATCTAGATTGTGCTGCAAGTGTCCAGCAGCGGGCTTTCACATCACCTGCTCAAACTATGGCTTCTTTCTCGGTCACCGTTACTTTGTGAGTTCTCAGGCTCTTTCAACAATTCCTCTTCATAATATTTGCGGAAGAACGCATGTCGCAGAGACTGTTTGAGATTCACTCTGTTGCTGGGATCGTACTCCAGCATTTTGCCAATGACGTCAAACAGCTGTCTGTGCTCCTCGTTATCAGGGTCCTTAATGTAGCGCTGGAATAATGTTTAGTAGTCATTAGTGATGGCCACATGTCATAATGGAGTACATGCACATGCAATATCATCGCTTTCTTTACATCTGAACAATGCAGAGAAATTCTGTGGGATGGAAGCACAAACAGACATGAATTGAAACTGTTACTGCCATTGTTAAGTTTAAATGACATGTAAACACATGTAAACAGACATGTTAACACATATCCATAATTTGGTGCAAATTTTGAAGAAAAATAACATTCCGAGGTGCTTAACACAACTGAACCAAAAGACAACAGAATTTCTCAACATGAAACATTAGGTGGTAGACATAGAGACAGCTAGCACACAATGTCAATACATGACTCTCTGACGACGATGACGACGTACTGATACACAGGAGGTGTGCAAGCAACTGATGTACCAGCTGCAGTACTAGTGATAGGAAAAAAAATAGGACTTGGAAGAAAATCTGAAAATAAAGAGCTAGATTAAGAAAGAAATTAACTTCTAGATTGACAGCACTGGCTACACAACACACTGAAGGACAAGCAGCCACATTGCAAGGTCACACGCAACATGAGGGACAAAAAGCATGGGATGCCGGTAGGTCAAGGGAAGCGTAGTCAGGGTCACACACAGAATAGGTCAACAATACTGCCCACTCTCAATGCCTTCTTGTATTGATCAGAGCTTTATTAACTGCTGCACCTTTGGTTTGTGGCCAGCAGAAATAGCAGCAGTCCTGCTACATTTTAAAGTAGGTGTCCCAAGTATATATCTATATGCATGCATAGAATGACCACATGAACAGATATATGTACTGATATTGATGAGCTTTGTTCAACAGATGCTGGCCAAGCAGGCCAGAGGATTGTTTATCTCTAAAATCTAAAAATGTTGTCAGAAGTCGAGTATTTCCATTGATTCAGCAACCATGTGCAAACATGCAAAGAGTATGTCAGTATACGAAGATGTTGTCTGGTATCTCAATAAATACCTTTCCCTATCAATACCTATACTGTCACAATATCCTCTCATATGTACATGGCCTTATTGCACAAAGTCAATAAATCATATTGTCTTTCATAAATATACACAACTTAAACACAGCAAGTCAGCAACACAATATTTAGCTAATACATTCCACACAACTTGTTACAAGTGATATACAAATAATAAACAAATGATAAATTGTAGAATATCAACAAAAAAGTGACTAAAGCACATTTAATCACTGGAATTGGAGTCAACTGTAGCAACACAGCTTCACTGAGATATATATGTCATTCTTATCACAATACAAAGCAAATCACGTAGGTCTCTAGCCCTCAAGGTTGTTGGGACATATCGTCCATACAACAACTGTGGGATCTGTCAAGACGGAACTAGTACCCGATCATCAACATAATTAGCTTCAACAGAGAACAGATCAACGGCCCAATAACTTGGATAAGTTCAACAGTGAGTATGACCATAGTTAACCATAGCGAATTACATATGAAATTTGATAAGGCACATTTGTAAATTAACGGGTATCATACCCTGTGAGCAACTATCACGAAACCTTTATACAGTCCTAACAATACATATTTTCAATCAACCTTTCTATCGCTTGCTGTTCCTACTCAGTTTGCTAGTGCTCATGGTCGAAATAGGACATGGACGCTTCCACATCAATCACCTTGGATCACAGAAATCATCATTCAAATTGAGACAAGACTCATCAATATCAGTGTTTATCTCAGGATGGGATCTGGCTAATCGGAGCCAAGGATCGTTTTCAGCTTTCCTACGTTCCTCCTCTGCTTCAGAGTCCTCATCCCCCTCTCCCCTCTCTTCTGGCTCCTCAAACGTTTCTGGAGGTGGAGGCTGAGGATCAGAAGCAGACGGTAAATAACGGTCAGATTCTGGCTTCTCGTTTGAAGTCATTGTTGCCATCTTGTGATAAGGATCAGTGAGAAAACTCAGCAAAAGATCTGGGGCAGGATCTGGTGTACTTGCATTAGACGGGTTTCGGTCCGGCACAAGGGAACTGACCGCACCCAGCCCAACAGCTGAAGACACACCAAACTGAGAGTCCTCACCGTCTGGCATTTGACTATCTGTACCAAATGAGTCCGAGGTCGTTATGTGACCATCAGACAATGTAGTCTGCGAACTGGGATCAGAAGGACTGGACAGTGAGAAAGAAACTTCAATATCTGGCATGATCACTTCTGGATGAGTGATTGCGGTTGGCTGCTCAGCCAATTGCTCCTCAGTATGAGGGGAATGGAAGCCAGAGTCTTTTACTAATGGCAGTGTGAAACTGGTAGCCTGGTCCTTCATTGCATCGTCAGTGTCAGAGAATGGTGAGTGGGAGTTGCTAGGGGCTGTTTTTTTCATGCAAGAAGGGGTAGCAGCTAACAGGCTGTTAGTGTCACTACCATCACAAGATTCGTAGGGTGGGCACTTGGAGGACAGTAGGGAGGGCGGGGTGTCCTCGCGATAGTAGGGCTTGAAGTAAGGGTGTTTAAGCGCTTCCTTCAGTGTGGTGCGCTGTTCGGGCATATAGTCCAACATCTTTTCGATGAGATCAAAAAGTTGGATGTCGTCTACGCCTTTATCTCGCAGGCCGTGCTGAAAGGAAATACAACATCAATAACAAGGAGTTTGTCTACTGGGTGGAGCAACACACCAACACATCCCTGCAATACCTGCTGGAGCCGTAACTCACTTAGGCAAGGGTCTGAGACTAAATCTTATCTAAGACAAAATTTCAAAAATACATTTAAGTGCACATCTATTCTAAGCTGTTCCTAAAATATGTATTGCAGGGAATACCAGTCTACATTCTGCATAATTTACTGCTTGTGCTGAAAATATTATATTGTATATGGCGGACACCATTCAAATTTTTTACTGATAAGTGTGTGAGCCCTAAAAACTTGGGTCAAAAGAGAATCTACTTCACTAAGGTTTCAGACCTTTTAAGTTCATTCATTCCAGTTGATGGCAAATAAAACAAAAATATAAGCAAACTTCATTTTAAGTCTTGTCAAAATTGAAATCATTATTTCTAAAAATGTGTCGAGCTTCAACTGGTACTATATCTAATGACTAATCACATCACAACAGAAGCAGAATAAAGACTGGCAGTCTACAACTAATTGAGCAGCATGGGGTAGACCGTTCCAAATGCTCATGGGACTTCAGCTGCATTGTAATACACATGTATTTGTGATTACTGACTGAATAATCAAGGAAAGGTAAAGCTTATAAGAGTTTACAAGCTCAATGAACCAAGTACTGCATCAAGGATGAGATTCTTGGCCACGTTAGTAACTTGAACGATTCATGCAGTAATACGAAACGTCAACTGACAACAGCAATGACCAGACTGACATGATCAAATCTTAATAAAACATTTGTGCATGCAGACTGAGCACTTCATAGAAATGGGGAAATTTTCTTTTCGGGATGTGTGAATCGTAGTAAAAAACTTTGATACTTTCCCCTCAAGAGCTTATTCATGTTCACATGTGAAATGTAGCTCATATAAAAAATATGTTTGGGACATATCAGCATACTTCTGAGTAACAAAACAAGGCGGTTCGAAGAAATCCATTAGCAGGCAGTTCATCCCAATAATGCATAATGCAGTCTTCATATGTGGACTATACAGAGGTGTACTGACTGGGGTGTACTGGCAGGGATGTACTGACTAGGATGTACTGGCAGGGATGTATCGGTGTGTTCATGCCAGGGTGAACGTAGTGGTGTAAGCATATCAACACAAACATTGGCTTCAAGTAACAACATGCAGCGGTCATCAGGCTGCCGCCAACATCAACACTGGTGGTGTGAAGCGTATAAACTGAAAACAAACTCAGGCATGTGTATGAAAGCTGAAAAGTTCAACCAACATGGTTAAAAATGGCCTCTCCTCCACAACATGCAGTGCTTTGTCATTCATTTCACTCGCAAACCAGCAGTAACAACAGCGAAACTACTCACTTCACTATCTTACAGCACTATTATCAGTACCTCAGTTTTCACATATTATTCTACTACAATCTCCATGACACTAGTTACAGTGTCTTAAACTCCAAAAGATCAATGACAGTGTTTTAATTTCCATGACACTACTTACAGTATCAAAAAGTTCCATTGCAAAGCCTTGCTCATTGCTTTGGCTAGCATTATTCAGATCAGTTTGGTTCAAGTGAGACACACAATTGTCCAAGTGTTTAGACTCTCCGAGTTTGGGTGTCAGGAATGTCATAGTGCTGTGAATGTGTGGGGGAACTGGGCCACAAACTAGCGTCCTAACGCTGAACACTGATTAGTCTCGACGAGGATGCACGCTCCAGACTGTGAAGAGTAGGCCATCTTCAACTAGGGCTAATGTTCTACACATAATGGAGACATATGCAGCTGTACAGGCTCACAGCTACTAGACAGGTCAAGTCAACGGTAACACATCACAAAACGGTGCATGGCGTAACTAAGCTGATTATTAATCCACCAGCAGTCTGGTCCACCCTGAATCATCATTAGCCTGGAAAGTTTTAATTCTTCATAGAATGTTGGAACTGAGTAGTTAAAACTGGATCACAAACATCAACATTTCTCGCACTTTCCACCCCCACAAAAAAATTGGATAAACTGTGATTAAAGACAGTATCTGAAACTAAAGGTGTTAATTGCCTGTCAAACTGTTCAACATACAGAATGAAACTTGTCACAACGGTGGATACTTGCAATGTAATCCTTGTAATGGCATGTACAACAGACACTACACACTAAGCTTTATTGTACACTAGTCACTTGAGTCAAACCACAACATGCAGTCACCATCCACTTTGAAGTTCCTTCCCTGAAGGGATAATCAGCCCACAGCTGTTTTGTCCGAGCACATCTTCCAGCATCTCTAGCTAACACAGCTCAAAAGCAAGTAATACTATAAGAACCTTGACGAGGGTGATATCCAGAGGGTGATATCCAGAGGGTGACATCCAGATGGTGAACTGCAGTGGATTCTTGCTACAGTTTGAACTAAAATATCACTGAGTCTTACCCTGAGTGGTTTACAATTATCTCGAACATAGCGGCCTGCTGAACTCTTCTCCTCCCAATCAAATCGACCATGGTAGAAATACTTTTGCTTTCTTCAAAAAATAAAAGAAAATACAAGCGGTGTGACACATGCAGCACACAACAGGAAATGCCAGGCATGCTGGGAACACTTGGGATGGAGGAGGAGTTTCTTATCAACAGCTCAAATAAAACAAGACCAGAAACTCAAATATTGAGCAAAATATTCCAAACAGTCCCCCTTAACATCGTCTGTTTCTGCAGCAAAAACGAAATTTCCATTTGAATTTTGCCTTTATACAAGATGGATAGTATATTTATTAAACCCGAAAATATATTGTAATACTTAATCAGTTTGTTTTCAGCCAAATGTTTGCATTTCATCTGCATGTTTCTTTACAATAGCCACTGGAATTGGGTACTGTTGATAAGAAAATGTCCCCTTCCTCCTGTTCAACAATCAACAATGATAAACACTCTACCTAGCACATCGTCAGACCAGGCATGCATACGTAGGTCCAGGTTGCATGCCCAGATACTTACATAGAGGGGCTTGCAGTTCTCGCGAACATATCGCCCTGCGGACGTGGTTGGGTCCCAGTCAAGGCGACCGTGCCAGAAGTAATTTGTTCTTAAGAGTGAAAAAGACCATTTGCATGTCAATAACCCATCTGGGAATTACTGTTGATTAATGTCTACTCTTTGTCATTGTTGCAAACAAGATGTGAATAAACAGGGTTAGACACTTTTACTATGAATGGTCCACAAAAATGATCTAGGCTTTGTTTCACAAAGTAATTACACCACTAAGATTATCATAACTCTCACAGTTCTTACCTACCTATGAGCATTATAGTGCTACAATAACTTTCACCCAACTACAGAGTTGTCTATGTAATGGTGAAAATGGTAGTCTACGAGGAAGTTCACAGTGGTCCCATCCCACTCCTCAGACTAGTGGACTGATGGTCACATGGAACCCTGATTGTTTGTTAGAATGACTAAGGGACAGCAACTGACAATGGCTTGGTGCAATGGTCACCATTTTTATCTATCTCGGTAGTTGTGACCGACTGTAAATGGTTGACCGGAGCAGAAAGAACAATGGAGAAAGTTGGTCTCCTGATGTGGTCACAACTCTGCACCCTACGGAGAACCCTCACTACGTCAACATATGCCTAACAAATTATATGGGAATCACATCCTCCCTAGATTTTCATCAAGGAGTCTGTTGCAGTAAAAAGTGAACAAGAGTACAGACATTCATGGATACTGTCTAATTTATGTGCTTCAAAAGAAAGTGAGTTATTTTTACGCCACTTTTAGCAATGTTCTAGCAATATCATGGTGGGGGACACCAGAAATGGGCTTCACACATTGTACTCATGTGGGGAATCGAACCCGGGTCTTCGGCGTGACGAGTGGACGCTTTAACCACTCGGCTATCCCACCGCCCACAAGAAAATAATGAACACATTACTGACAGTCAAACAGGTGTAACCGGTTTTCAGATCTGCCTATCAGCATATGCTTTAGTTTCATCATCTTTTCAAAGGGAAGAATAGTCATAAAAAGTCAAATACTGAGCACTGACACTGACTATAGATCTCTCCATGATAAAAGGATAACTACAAAATGGGTCTTATTTCACAAACTAGGAAATCTAGCATTTTAATACACCCTGAACACATCACCAAATCAACAAGACTGATTTAAGGAAGATTTTCTTCTGAATCATATTTGCTTGAAAAGCAACATATTTCTGATGATGCTTCAAGACAGAAGACCTGTTTACATATGTACACAAGTTAGAATGTACAGATCTGTTGCCACAAACAGTGTTTCACTTACTTTGTTTTCTTTGCCATTCTGTAGGGTAGGGATCCAAGAATCCGTTCCATCATAGCCAGATGTTCCTTGTTGTCATGTGTCTGGAAGAGGCATATCAGGTTACAGTCAGTGTCTACTGTGTAGGCCTCAAGGAGGATTAAACTGATTCCGGGCCTGTTCCACACACAATCCTTGCATTGTAAGTCTGTATTTATGTACTGGAGTTAAGATCTTCTCAGTATTCTGGGAAAGGAACCTCAGAGCCCTTTTACACAAAATTTCAAGTTTTGCCCCAAGAACTGACTGACTGACTGAGTTTGGTTTTACGCCGCTTTTAGCAATATTCCAGCAACATCACGGCGGGGGACACCAGAAATGGGCTTCACACATTGTACCCATGTGGGGATTCGAACCCGGGTCTTCGGCGTGGCGAGCCAATGCTTAAACCACTAGTCTACCGTCCCGCCCCAAGAACTGCAAAACTTGGTTGCAAAAATACAGTTAGAGTTATTTCCCTTACAGTGCACAAACAACAATACGGATAACATTCTTGTGCAGGGAAACAAATTTTCACTTAATCAACATTGTGAATCTTGGCATAAGAGGAAAGTATGTTCCACCCATCAGAGGTTTATGTAAAACACATTTGATGCATGATATTTGATATCACAATATAAACACTGTTATAAACCCTGGAGTGACTACAGATCTCAAAACAAGAACTGACATGTCCACCTATACGCTCTATTGTTACTACAATGACAGCATGGGATGAGAGAGCTACTCACCTGGAATAACGTGTAGCCTGTGTACAGCTCAAACATGATACAGCCTATACTCCACACGTCACATGGTTGTGACCATCCCAGCTCTGAAACACAGCACAGACAGGTCACAACAGACTCCGCAACAGCAACACTGGAACTCTTCCAAAACTCAGGACTGACTGAGTGAGTGAGTTGAGTTTTATGCTGCACTCAGCAATATTCCAGCTATATGGTGGCGGTCTGTAAATAATCAAGTCTGGACCAGACAATCCAGTGATCAACTGCATGAGCATCGATCTGCGCAATTGGGAAGCGATGACATGTGTCAACCAAGTCAGCAAGCCTGACCACCCGCTCCCGTTAGTTGCCTCTTACGACAAGCATGGGTTACTGAAGGCCAATATTCCAAACCCCGACCTTCATGGGTACTCAAGACTAAACCAGTGAAAGAACACAAATATCAGATTTGCCATATTAAGCACCTGCTTCAATTAGGACCCCTTGACAGGGGTGAGTGAGTGAGTGAGTGAGTGTGGGGAATCAAACCTGGGTCTTCAAGTGTGACAAGTGAAAGCTTTAACCACTAGGCCACTCCACTGCCTCCAGTTCATATAAAATCTTCATTAATACCAGTACTTTGGTTGACATTGTACAGGACAGATCTCATTTTCTTATGTATGTTAGAGGCTATTTTACAAAAACATAGCTGTGTAGAAACGTTATGCAATATAACTATTAAAACTGTGTTAGTTTCATAATACAGTAGAATACTTTTATAACGAACACGGATAAAACGAACTGATGGCTATAGCGAACTGTTTTAAAAGTCCCGAATAAACCTTATATTATGATATAAAAAGTGAATAGCGAACTACGGATATAACAAACTAATTTCAGTGGTCCCTTGGAGTTCGTTACAAAGGTATTTTACTGTAGTTTGAACCTATCTGATCTCAAACAAGAATTCAACATGTGTTTTCAAAGTGAGCCCCTTTATGAATTTTCTAAGCACTCAGGGTGATTACTACAGCTAATACATATAAGCAAAATGCAAAAGAATATTCCTTTTCACAATCATCATAACAGTAGTTTCATTTTGGGAAATGACAGATAACTGATGCCATAAGATAATGGTAATAGCACAGGGTACTGAGAGTTCCATATTATAAGTTCTGGGACAACTACTTTCAAATAGATCTGTATGAAAAGGACACCAGACATTGTGCCCTTGTGGGGGAAACCTGGGTCTTCAACACTTTGACCACAAGGCCAAATGAACGCTTTAACCAAGAGGTCGGCTGAATTACTTAACCGTGAGGTCAGGTCAATGGTTTAACATTCAAAGCTAACTCTGTCACAACAAGCAAAATGTTATTCTGATACTGTTATCAAGCAGTTACTTACCTAGTATAACTTCTGGAGCCCGGTAATGCCTTGTTGACACTATTGTGCTGTGGTGTTCGTGGTCAAAGGTTGCTGACCCAAAGTCTATTAACCGAATGTCTGTAGACTTCACTCTCCGTTCATCTCTCCGCTGTCAACAAAGAACAGTTACTGTTACATCTGGACTACATGTATCTGTGTCGGGAACTAAGATATCCACTCCTGAACAGAGTAGGAACTGGCTCATGAAACCAGTTGATGCACAACACTGATGTTCTCATTCAGAGTGAGTGAGTGAGTTTAGTTTTACGCTATATGCCAGTGGTCTGTAAATAATCGAGTCTGGAACTTCTCATTCAGACTCTTCATAAACTCCAGGGATAGAAATACTTTTTTTTCTAAGTGTGCCTTAGGGCACTAGGTAAATATTAGGTGTGGCTTTCAGAAATCAGGTGTGCACAAATGTTTTTAGAATAAATGACTGTAGCAAAGATGATGATCTTTTGAAATTTATTGTCAGAAAACAACAAATGTAACCAGTTTTCTGTTATCACTGATATGTCTTCTGTTTAAGATGGCTTTCTTCTGTTTCATTTGTTCTGCTTTCCCAGCACCTTTAATAGCTAAGAATTGTGTGAGAGGTTCACTTTTTTCAATATATATAACATACACAATTTCCTCTTCAATAACTGAACTATCAGTACTCCCAACACTCTAAATGAAGAAACAACCAGATTTCTTTACATGAACCATCATAATTCCAGTGATTTCCTGGGCAATAAAGTCAATAAATGTTTTTACTTCGTTGTCATTTGCATAAGTGTTTTGTTGGTTATTATGTGACTAAAGGTGTGTTATGTCTTAGGCGTGCCATAAGGGCACCGAGAACATTTTTTGTCCGTGCCATTTCGATATTTACCGTGCCATGGCACACTAATATATGGGGTATTTCAAACCCTGAACTCCAATAAGTGTATCACACTGTTTGGTAAAGATTCTTCTATAATGAGAGAAGAAAATAGCACAGTTATCCATCAATCACTTACATTTGAGATCATGCTGTTATATATCACAAACTTAAATAAAGTAATCAGTACATGTCGAGTAGAATTACCCAGTAAGTTGCAAATCACAATCCATAATACCCGATAGACACATATTACCCTGGTTTCTAGTATTGACTTAGAATAGATAAAAAGATATCAGAAAACCCAAATATGTGACTCACCTTCTTTTGATTATATGCGACTTCAAACTCGGAACTTAAAAATAATATATTTTCTGGTTTCAGATCTGTGTGGGTCAGCTGATTTTCGTGTAAAACTGCAATGTGAAATCCAAGAATCAAGTTACTTGTAACAAACGAAAACATCACAAGCAATACAGGAGAATACTTTCTGTATACAACAAATGGGTCAGTGAGTTTCATACAACACATTATAATTTAACAGTTATCAAATTGAACCACTGCCAAACTTGGGCGGCTGACATGACAAACACTTGAACCACTGGGCTATTCGAAGCCCTCATTAAATGAAGTCAAATCACATGCAACCTCATCTAATAATAAAGATATTGAGCAATGCCTTGCCAACTTGAACCTCTACATCTTTGATGTCATGTAACAATATCATACAATGTTTCTGGGATGAATCGATGTGGAACTACACAGTCTGTGCCAAAATCTTTTGAGCATAGTTAGTCAAAACATGGCTCTTAGCATCATTTCAGTTTATTTAGTTCATCTTATGGACTTATCAGCTGAGCCGACTATGCTGGAGAGAATTTTACTGGTCTTGAGCTAAAGCCACAATTCTAGTACATGTTTATCAGGAGCTTAAAAAACACCAACAGTCTTAATGATGACAACAAATAGTATTTGCTAAAAGGTTGAAGCATTGATGAAATGAGACTGGATAGTTGGCAAGCTTCTATCATGATAGGGAAATAATACTTACAGTTAACTGCATAGACCAGCTGGTAGGATATATGTCGGACTTGCTCCAGGGGGTAAGGGACGTAGTTGTTGTCTTTCTGCAAATCAACACACACAAGTTTTTAAACAACCAGTAAACCATGGCACTTTAATATTTTGTTGTTTTCTGACTGACTGACTGAGTTTTAGTTTTACGCCGCTTTTAGCAATATTCCAGCAATATCACGGCGGGGGACACCAGGAATGGGTTTTACACATTATGCCCATGTGGGGAATCGAACCCGGGTCTGCGGCGTGACAAGCCAACGCTTTAACCACTAGGCTACCCCACAGCCCCTTTTGTTGTTTTCACTAAGTATAAAAAGAAGTTACAAATTCATATGTTGTTAACCGGTAAACGTCTGAAGGGGTCTTAAATTTACAATGAAACACAAACAAAATGAAAGGAAGGCAACACTGGCAATGGCGTACAAAGCCTATGCTATCCCATCTGTAGCAGAACTTAATGTACTGTGAAGGTGTGAGCAGGAAATGTACACGGGGATTACAACTCACTTCTATCACACAATGTTTTAAACAGACTATAGTAACCTGTTCCCAGGCATGTATCGCTTACAGCAAGCCCATCCCTACCCCATGCTAATAGTCACACAACAACTTCTGACATTTGCAGGAGTAAGACTAGTTCACATACAAGTAGCATATGTTCCCCTGCATCAGCCATTATGCTTCATTCAGGGAACCTTCCACAGCATGCTGGTCTCCCTGACATTTCAAAACAGTTGTGGAATCAATTACCTCCCCTGATGAAGATGAGCGCTATGCTGTTTATGTTGTAACCTCCCCAGTAACAGCGCCACCAGGCTCTTACAGATGCGAGGGGCAAATCTCAGCTGAATACATCGAAGCAGAAACTAAGAGTTAAGGTGTTTACTTCAGGTGTAAATTAAGGATGATAGTAAAGTTGTTGATGAACTTACGAGGAAGTCGAAGACACTGAGTCCCAGCATATCGAATGCCAAGCACATGTGGCCATGGTAGTCAAACCAATCCAGCATCCGTACACACAGACTGAAACAAGAATGAGCAAATGAATTCAAAGCAAATTGATATTTCTTGTAGCTACACGAAAAACTTTGACCTTCTTAACATTGCCGGACTACAGAACTTGACCAACATAACCGATGACATTGCATTCCATCTGTTAATGATACCAAATTGCTAAATAAATCCTATCTTGAGACATTCTGTTTTCTCCTCTGGAAATGTCTGTATACATTTGCTGAACACATAAGCTATTTCATACTGGTTTCCATAGAAGGAGACAAGAATAATTGGATTGAATGCTAAAAAATATTAGAATATGTAGAATCTGATGAAAAATAATGTAATTGAACTTCAATGATAGCAAAACATGACTGACACTAAAAGAAGACATAAATTCGAGAAACTGTGCAGTTCATGTGTCATTATCCAAGGCTAAAAAAACTACATCAAAGGAATGTCTGTAGACACAGGTGCATCATTTCCAGTACATTGTCATCAAGTTAAACCCTGCCTCCTCGCTACTGAGGAACACGTCACCAACAAACATTTATTTATTCCCATGTTGCTTCTATCATAAAGCTTACAAATCAATCATAATTTTTTAACTCTTAAATAATCATGGACACCTTTCCAGTGTTCACGAATGGTGTTTCAAAGTAACATGACATTGGGTCCTGTAAGTTTCAGATGTCTGTCTGACCCATCTGACCCATTAAACATTCACAGGACCCATAGAATAAAATTAAACACACATTTCACATTTAACATTTCCTATAATTGGCACTGAAATTATTAACAAACATAAGATTTATAAACAGCAAACAAGTGTTACATGTCACATATAACAACTTCAGTCAAAGTCATTGTAAAATATACAGTCAGACACTGGGGCCGGCGGGTTGTAGACTTCTATCGGACCGTTGACGAATCTGCCTTGATTTGTCAGAGGGTCAGACGCTATTCAAGAACACTGCCTTTCTCTTTTTTGATATTGTGGAAACAAAGGCATTTAAAATGAATCTATATCATGGTTATTTTTCAAGCAAACATTCAGATGACACACACAGTTCAATGAAGGGTCTGTTCTGTCTTGGTCTCGGAGTCCTTGTTTGATGCATGAGAGTGAGAGTGATTGTTCTTTTACGCCTCTTTTAGCAATATTCCAGCAATATCACGGCAGGGGATACCAGAAATGGGCTTCACACATTGTACCTATGTGGGGAATTGAACCCGGGTCTTCGGCATGACAAGTGAACACTCTAACCACTAGGCTACCACTACTATCAGGACAATGCACAACTGGGAAAATAAACTGCCATCAACAGCAAAGCACTGACACTATTCCATGCAGGTAAGTTCTGTTTGGCTGAAAATCCTCTTATCTAAGTAATAAAGACATAACTGCATCTGGGGATATGATGTACACTTATCCTTTAAACATCTGTGCTTAAAACATCTAAGTCAGTAACAGTAGATAATGGTGAATCTGCTGCACAGTGAGATGCTGGTGATTCCACCAGCTGCCACCCACTTCACTTGCAATGCTGAGAGTTAAACCATGGGATGTCCAGTGCATAAGCATATCTTCAACATTAAAACCATGGCTGAATAAATATGCAGTTCACTTTCTGACTCAACTGATCATGGTGAATTTGATACAGTTTATCAGTCGGTCAAACTTGTAAGGGTGAGTGAGTGAGTGAGTGAGTGAGTGAGTGGGAGACACCAGAAATGAGGAGGAGTGAGTGACACATTGAGTGCCCATGAGGAGGAGTGAGTTGAAGTGAGTGTGAGTGAGTGAGTGAGTGAGTGAGTGAGTACCTTGATGCTTGTCAGCAATTTTACAGTCATATCCTGTCAGGTATTTAGAGTGAGTGAGTATGGTTCTACGCTTTAACCACCAGACTGGGCTTCCACATTGTGCCCATGTGGGGATTCAGGAACCAGACTACCCCACCGCCCTCAGGAATTTAGAAGAAGTTCCTGGATTCAGGTCTTCACAATCTGCTACTGTTCCAGCACTGGATTATGATGTAGCCAATAAACCTATATTAACAGTCAGTGGATCAACAGTGGTTTTGCTGGTTATCCTAAAAGAAGTAACAGAAGACTTAACGGCACTTGGGTGAGTATGAAACTTCCCATGAGTTTATTGATGGGTTTGCTGCTTCCTTGAAAATATCATGCCTAACCAAATTTATCCACAAATAATGTGACATTCTCAAGATGGGCCAGGATGTGACTACAAAAAATGACTTAGACTGAGATAAGTTGGGAACTGGAGGCAATGCCCCCAAATCCTACATCACAGGGCATAAACTCTTCTTGCGGAGTGATGTACAGGTTTCCATGAACTCCAGGAGCTGGCCAGCCATCATGCAACACAGGTCACACAACACAGGTCACACAACATAGTTGTTCTAGCAAGTTCTAGCCAGTTATCAAGGAACTGGGTTTCAACTAGTGGCCATCAACAAATCTGCAGCTATTCAATTCACAATTACTCTTGTGATCAAATTTTATATTGGTACCCCACAAGAAGCTGACATGCACTATATCCTGTTAGAGCTTTCTCCTCTCCTAATGTGACATGAATGTGGTGTTAGCAACACATAACAGTGTGCTCAAGGTTAATATTGAACAGCTTAAGGGGCAGCAAAAACATCACTTACCATGGTCTCATTGAAAATCAATAACTTCCTATTAAGCAGTTTTTAAATGTAAGTTTCACAGAATAATAAATTGGAAATTCAAATAAGGTATTTGCCATATTAAAGACGCTCGGCTATCATGTACCACACACTCTAAAAAATAAGAAAGAATATATTTTCTTTAAAATCACACACTGAAACTTCCTTCTTGTCCGTATGTTCATGAATGTATTATAATACTGCCATGAAGCATTCTTTAACGACCTCAATCCAGAAACAAATTACAATACTAGGCTCATAATAATACAACTTCAAATATTGGGGTGAAAAATACTGCGTTATTCACAAACCATTCTGTTGAGTGAAGTGCCTGTTGTTTTTAACAAAACAATCATCACTATTCCTGCATATGATGGATGACCCGTAAATAATCAAGTGTGGGCCAGATAACCTGGTGATTGGGATCACCATCATGAGCATTGATCCATGCAGCTGGATATGATGACTGGCAATCAACCAAGTCACCAGACCGCCATGCCTATTACAAGCTTATGTTGCTTGGTACCTACATTGAAGATTCCCTGAAGTGAAACATTACCTCACTCACAAGCCTTGGTACTTGAAGATCAATCAGAAATATGATATGGTTCAATGAGAATTTACAAGACATCTCTTTTAGAAGAAGACATAATACTGAAATCAGCAAAAGGGTCGATTAACCTCAAGAGCAAGCACTTCTGACAAGCTAATTACACCTGAAAGGGCTAACAGTCCTTTGTCATTCATAACTGTCAAACTACTGATGGGCCCACTGAGGTGATACTTCTCCGTTAACTTGTTCTATAAAACCCAAAGTGGTTGATCAGTCATTTGAAAAGCCACAAGAACTTTAGTAGCAAAAACAGTGTTTGTTTGAAATTATAGGCCCATGGAGAAATGCTCTGTGGTATTGAACCTTGGTCTCCTGGCATAAAACATCAGGCTTATAACAATGCCCCTTAATTTTCATGCTGAACACTGAAGGAATGGATGTGGACCAAGTAAAACATATCAAATTAGTGATGGGTATTGGCCTGACTTTCTTACTGCAGTTTATTGCAATAATGATTCATATACACCATAATACATTACATCTGTTCTTTCATCTGAAACATGTTATGAACCAGAATCTAAAAAATAACCTAAATGGCATAGGACTTCCCCCGCACATTTCGGAGAACTACATAGCTGTCTGCAATTTGGTAGGATGTTGCTATGGCCACGAAGCTTGCATAACAGACATTATATACAGAAAGCTGGTCACGAATAGTTTCACTTTTTCTATCCCAGTAATCGGTCGCTTATTTCTTAACTTAATTCGACTTGCCACTTTCATAAACTTTGCCAACAAGATTAAAAAGTGCACGATTTTTCAAACACTACTCCTAAATTATCTTCCAAACCTATTGTAACAATGACTCAATAGTACTTCAACCCATGGTATGCTGGTATACTGGGGCCCCTTTATTTAACACACCTGATTTTGGATTATGCATGTGATAGGACGGAAAGGGAAATAGGATTCCCAGTCACTGATGAAATTAATATGTTCCTGGAAGAAAGTGTATTTGCTCCATTAAACGCAAGACAAATATGGGATCCAATTGTGATCTATGTGTCACAAAGTTGGGATCTGTCCCCGTACTTGTGTTTCATGGCTGCGATACAAGCTGTACAAGATATAAATAACTAACTTTTAGGCGACCTCTCTCTGTGAACCTCTGTCCAGAAGGGGAATATCTACATCAATTCCTGCCTCCAGGGATAGTAATTCACACTATCCTGCCAGCCCAGTGTGTGATGGAGAAGGTACCAAAATACCATTTGAAATCCACGCTGGTGACTTGTTGTATTTATGGGAAGTTCTAACTTAGATTGTGTCAGGAGAATTTCTACTGCATTGCAAAACCAGACAACTTTATTGTACTTTGTTCACTTAATGTTAATTTGACTCCATCAGTACGGATATTTCAGACAGTGAACATAGTCAATTGGCAAAATGAAAGACTTGGTGATGTAGTTAATGCAGTCTGGTGCATAGTGATGTGCAGTTGTCTGATATAAACAATAACCAACAAAGAAGAGAATCTACGCCAGATATTGACGGGTTCAATCACCTGAAATATTGTTTTACAGTCAGACTTAATTCCTTTGAATGTTCAACATCTTCATGATCTTGGTCTTGGGTTACCTTGTTCATCCTCAGGCATCTGACTGACTGACTGACTGACTGACTGACTGAGTTTGGTTTTACGCCGCTTTAAGCAGTATTCAAGCAATATCACGGCGGGGGACACCAGAAATGGGCTTCACTCATTGTACCCATGTGGGGATTCGAACCCGGGTCTTCGGCGTGACGAGCCAACGCTTTAACCATTAGACTACCCCACCGCCCTCTCAGGCATCTGATATTATGAGTGATTGAATGAGTGAGTTGGGTTTTACGCTGCTATTAGCAATATTCCAGCAATATCACAGTTGGGATTACACCTCTTTAATATTTTGGGTCGGTAGGTAGGATTTCTTTCACTGTTTCAGAAGTAAAGTACAAAGTATCACAGGCTAAGGGCTCTTAACAAGAAAATTGTTTTAAAAAAAGAAGTTCTTAACATTTCATTCCAGGTGAAAGTGTAAAGTATGCTTTAAAGAACTGAATAACAAATAACTGGATGTAGGTAAGGAACAATGTCTCTAACTATATACACATGTAACTGTCCAGAAAATGGGGGATCTGCATTAAATTGTGATGTTTCACTGTTTGTAACAAGCATAACACGACTCATTTTTATTAGATTTTCAAGTGGATGGACATTAACACACAACTGATATGTTGCAGAGTCCATTAATATTTTTTCAGCTTTAACATGTGTTGTTGAAATGGGAAAAATATCACAGCTATGTAAGCTTTACCAAGGGTAGGCAATGTTGGTCAAATCTAACTAGCGTGTAGTTCATTTTGGACTAGTGCTGATGTAAAATAACTAGACCTTAGTATGAGTGAGTGAGTGAGTGAGTGAGTGAGTGAGTTTAGTTATGTGCTGCATTCAGCAATATTCCAGCTATATGGCAGCGGTCTGTAAATAATCGAGTCTGGACCAGGCAATTCAGTGATCAACAGCATGAGCATCGATCTGCGCAATTGTGACCTTAGTATGAAGCAATTAAGTCTCAGCATATTTTCACTGGACTTGGACTAATGATCTTGTGGCCATGTCTATCCCTAACTGAATGAATCATTTATCTTTATATGGTGTGTTCAATAACCAAGGTAAATAAGTATTATTGATCTACTTAAACAGTGGTCAGTCACAAACTAAGTTTCCTTATTTGAATGAAATGTACAAATTCTGACAATCGACCAAAATCCTGCTCTAGACACACAGTACATTACATCATCCTATGTATTACATCACAAAATGTAAACAAGCCCAACAGAAAACAAGTACCAATCCCAAAATTCATTTTTTAGACAAATCTCTGAAATTCTTCAGAAAACAAACTCTTTTACAAGGTTCTAGAACTCCGATTGTTTTTATCAGATGTTAGAGAAACATAAGCAGTGGCTGTGTGTCTACCTGGAAAGCAGCAACGTCAGTGACGACACTGAATGACTACAACTACGCATTTGGCACAAGTTGGCATACAACCCTGCCAAGAAAGCCATCTGAAAGCGGCAAACAAAGTCAGACAGTATCACTATGGCAACGGGTCGTAAACATCTTTGTTTCTTGTGAAAACACCCACCCAAATATCAACCCTTCCATGCAAGAGTACGAGTGTTTTCACCTGGTCTAAAGATAGGCACCCAAGGAGAACTTACTATTCTTGACCTACGTTGCAGATGTTGCCACAAAGCTTATCTCCTTCACAGGTGCTCATTAGTGGGTATATTTGTTCAAGGTAACACCCCCTATCTACACACTGTTGAACGCTGACCACTCCTGATCACTGATATCAGTGCGGGACCTTTAGCTACTATCTATCTGTTTTTCTTGATAATTATTCATGCTGTACACACCTCCACCATGGTGTTTACACTCCATTTATATTCATTTTTATTGTGTTTATATGCACGTTGATCACACAAACATGGCACAGACCAGCAATATTACCATGAGTTCAGTTAAGTCAGACTAAACCAAATTCATATTACAACTTGTGCTTAATGGAGGTAATCTGGGGGAGAAAGGAAGAAGTCTTTCCAGATAGTAGTGTGTGTCTAGTTGCTGTGTATGAAATAACAAGAATTCCAGTGTATGGAGTTTATAGGTCTATCTATCTATCTATTTATCTCCAGGGCTCCAGATAATTTTTCAACATCACGAGTACGTATTCCTTACTATTAGTAATCGTTTCATATATGCACCATAACATTGCTACTTCTGTGTAAACAGGTCAATGAACAATAAAACAATACTTTTTCAGATAAATACGCCTGTAAATGATTCCAAGACCATACACCATTGCTGTGGTGCATATCTGCTATGTTTTCTAAATCTTTTCCTACCGTATCGTGCATTTTTTTTAATCCATACATACGCCGATAGGGCCCTTATCTGGGGCCCTGTATCTATCCATCCATCCATCTATCTATCTGTTATTCGCAGTCACAAGAATTGAATTGTCAAACATTTTAGAAAGGAGTGTTTTTACTTGAATGATAGTTACGAGATATGCCAAAAATATATTCTTGCCATTTGGATGATAGTCCAGAGTCCTATATATGTTATATTTGTGAGTAATGTGGTCTGGTCATTGTCTGGTCCTATTCATATTTGTTAGCCAGTACTTATGACATGTATCATGTTTGCCTCATAGTGGATTTATTGCAGCCAATATAATATATACACAACAGGAGGTGAAGTTCAGCAGTTAGTCTGTCTCACAGTCCCTGAACCACATTATTTTCCCTACAGCCTAGCCTTCCCTGTAGTGCTAAAGCCCTAAACGAAGCAAGTCTAGATTTTCCCAGGTTCTGAATCTCTGGTCTCCCTAGGGCTCCTTTTCAATTTAAATGGGCTTGTTTGTTGCTATCAAAATTATATATATTCAGAGACTAAGCCTTAGTCTATTCAGCAGTGTACAGTGGTACATATGTGAAGAAATCCATAAACTACTGACACATGAATTTGTGTTTCAAATTCATGAGATGGTGGATGGATGGATGGATGGATGGATGGATGGATGGATATGTCTAACAGCAAATTCAATATTGACTACTCTGTACCATAAACAGGTGGTCATCCATGTCATTCAGCATCTGTCAGTATATTCAAGTCTGTCTTTGTGAAGTGATGGAAGTTTGAGACAAGGTTACTCACTGTTTCCCTGCAGGATCCTTCTCTCTCAGTTTCTCCAGAACATTTATTTCCAACTTGGCGGCTTCTCTGTACTTTTCCACATTCTTGATGATTTTTAAGGCAACTCTTTCATTTGGACTGGAACAAAAAAAGAAGAAGTGTCATTAAAAATCCCAGCAACCAACTGATTAAGATGATTCCCAAGGAAGTAATGAAGTTTGTTAAAGTTTCCCAGTATCTCATGTGCCACAAACATCACAGCGTGATAAAACTCGACATTTCTTTGTTCCCGATGAAGATTCAGTTCAGAACACGTTATACAACAAACTTGAAAGTGAAACAAGCCTTAAGAGAACAGTCATGATACCAAACTGTCAAATTCTTGATCTACACCCAATGATGTTGATATGTGGCCTGTGTGTGGACTGTGGAGATATATTGTTATTCACTGAATAATTAAATGCAGTGAAAAAAGAGAAGCAAAAGCTGATTTCAAAAGAACCCCAGTCAATCACAGATTGCAGCATGAAATATAACACCCTGAGTGATGTCTACAGCTTAATATTCAAAAGAAACAATGTTTGTAAGTGTTGGATAAGACTGGCGGCCATTGCTGGGAATGAATGGCCAGATTGTGTAAAGTCATGCTTGGCAAGCCTCAGATGAATAAGGACTGCCAGATTAGCAGAGAGATGGCTGCCTTTTATTCCAAACAAACTACTCATATCTCTACATTCGTAGCTGATAAGTGCAGCCATGTTTTATGTTGTTTACACCGTAGATCCTTAAGATGGATCAGGTGGTTTGGGAGAACATTACAACATACAGACAAACAGAAAGTGTTATGTAATCACATCACCTATACTAGCATCCAGTGATCAAGTGGTTGTATTTTAGTCATGATGTTATGACGTCGGACTATATAAAGTGGACTGAAGTAGGGAGGGCTGTCTAAAGCCTGTCTGCTGTTCATCCCCGACATTCCCTTTTCCAAGCAACCCAATCTGACCCCCAGGATGAAGGTAAACATGTACGATTCATTCAAGATTTGTCAACATCTCATCTATTGGCTGCAATAAATCCACTATGAGGCAAACATGATACATGTCATAAGTACTGGCTAACAAATATGAATAGGACCAGACTGACTGACTGACTGAGTTTGGTTTTACGCCGCTTTTAGCAATATTCCAGCAACATCATGGCAGGGGACACCAGAAATGGGCTTCACACATTGTACCAATGTGGGGATTCGAACCCTGGTCTTCGGCGTGACGAGCCAACGCTTTAACCATTAGGCTACCCCACCGCCCCAATAGGACCAGACAATGACCAGACCACATTACTCACAAATATAATATAATCGGACTCTGGACTATCATCCAAATGGCAAGAATATATTTTTGGCATATCTCGTAAATATCATTCAAGAAAAAAACAACTCCTTTCTAAAACGTTTGACAATTCAATTCTTGCCCACTTCATTGGAAATATGCAAGCCATTCTGCAATAATATATCCCAGTAGTTCCATATTTTGTATTATTTAATATTTTGTCATGTGTTCCCTGGTCCACCACAAAAATAAATGCTTTACACCCTGCCTAATGGACACTATTATAAAATGGAAAGGATTCAGAGCCGGATAATGCCAACGGATTAAAACACGTTTTGGGTTCTTTACAGATAAATATGCAAGTATATGATGTCAGGTAGGTACAACATGTCAGTGTTTACAAACACGGTATCACCCTTGTCTAATGAGTCCGGATTAACCATCATGATCCTGGCAAATTCGGAATAATTGGGATAACAGAATGGTTATAAATCCTGACATACTACTTTTCTCCAATAATTATGGACCATTACAACCGATCATTACATCAGTAAAGGTCAAATTACTAATTATAATCAATTACTGGAAAATCATTGAATGCAGCTTCATCCTTGCAGGTTCCATCTCACCTGACGAAAGTCCATCCTTGAACGTTTCTGTTGAAATCTCTACCACAAGAACAGCAAAATTCTGTTTTCGTTATACAAATACATATGACATTCTAAGGGTTAGGGTTCGAGTTCTTATCAAGGTCTTCTGACGGGTTTCTCTTCATTTCATCACCCCATGGACATCCATTTATTTCTATGGAAGACGCACTGGACAATCTTCTAGGCCCTGGAGCCAGTCTCAAAAGTCTTTCCCCTCCACTTAGCAACAAGTGGCTTCACATGTTAAAGCATCTTACCACCCTAAATCAGGTCAGAGTGAAGCTCCCAATTACTTAGAGTGGTCAGACCAAATAGTGACTGGATTATTGCCCGTCTTAACTCATTTTCCTTGCATGCAGGGTAATAATTCTTCTATTGGAGAATAACAAGAACAATATCCCCACAAACAACATAAACATTAACCCCTGAATCTATATATAAGTCTACAAAATACGTAAGTGGTAACATAGTATGGTAAAGCACTTGGCTCTGGCATTAACAGATGAAGCTACGTCACTCTTCCTGTTGCCGATCTCACTTTAGAATGGCCCAAAATACCATCTCTGCTTTCAAACGTTTTCATAGTAGCATCTTGAATTGTTCTGACATTCAGTAGATGTTTGTGATCCTAACTTCAGTTTACTATCTTCAAGATATATTTGTCTAGTGACTGTCTCAGTAGATCCATGGGACAATATAACGATTTCATCAACCTGCCATTGGAAGCCTTGGGCAAAAACTACATTCAATAATGACTCGTTTCAACACTGGCATACATCCTTCTGTGCATATCCTTGCTAATCAACCTTACAGTTCAGGAGAATATTTGGAGAGATGAATCCTTGCCCTCAGGATCAAATGCTTCCTGTTTTAGAAGCACTGCAATAGAAATACTTGTCCAATATGAAGATGAGTGATATGCATTGAAAAGAAACAAAGTCTGCGAGTGAGGAATTGGAAACGTCTTGGTTCTGCACTGCATGCATGTTTTCAGGAAGCTTCATTTGCCTGGATTATAATATTCTTGCCCAAAGGAATTCATACTTTAAAAAATTAGAATACTTTCACATGGGGCACAGCATTTTAATAATTTCTTGTGTTAATTCCAGTACATTCGTGGACTGTTCTGATTGTTACTTCACTGCAAGGTATTACAATTGGTATTTATTGTCACATCTTTACCACAAAAGTGTCAACTAAACTAACCATGAAGAATTTGTTATCAGTTAACTCCGTGGAATCCTAATGAAGCTAAATGGCCAGGAAAGCAATTCAAGAGATCAAAGCTGAAACATATTTCAATTTTATAAATCACAATCAAACAGTCCAAAAAATTCTACCAGTTAGTTATCCCCCAGTGCAGTGAAATTATTCCCTATTCACCAGGTTCAGTGGCAGGGTCACAGATCCCCTGCTCACAGCTCAGTACACACAGAGGTACCAGTTCAGCTATGACCTAATTCAGTTTGATCTTTGAACCTACTGGTCTCCAAATCAACAGTAGAACACAGTCTGAAATCAATAGAGAGTGTAACACTGTCCCGCCCACGTAGTATCGTGGGAGGATGAAGAGAAGGAGGGGAACTAATTGTGTTTCCGCTTAGCCATTTTCCCTCAGCAATCCCACCGACTGCCAACACACAGATTATATCACATCTTCGAACCTGAGTCACATCAAATTCTTCCTCTGAATACTTGTTAAGTCAAGGATTTTTGCACAACTATGTGTGAATAAGCATGATGTGCATTTAGGAATGAGTTGATCAGGTTGAAGCAGAAAGCACTGACGTAAATCCATCTCGCACCTGCTGCTCACTTCCATTAACAGCAAAAATCAAAATCTGAAGCAAACATGAATTTAGCCCTGATATTTACATTAGAACTGGAAAAATGCCAACAGAAGTGGTGCACACAGACATTATTAGATTGTGTATATTTAATGATGTGAAATACTTATCAATGCAGCACACACCTATCACGTTCCTCGTGCCTACATTCCGTACCCGACCTAGGCATGTGTTGTCAAGTCAGCTAACCCCCTAGTGCTCCTGCCACACCCACCTTCTGAGTAGAAACTCATGCAGGTCACAATGACCTAACTAGATGTACTCATGAAATGAGGTGAGGTGAAATTGGGTTTAACGTCGTGCTTGAGAATATTTCGCTCATATGACGACGCGTGCATGCGTGTGTGTGTGTATGTGCGGCTGCTTGTACTAGCCCAGACTTTCAGCTGGTTTTATAGTGCTAGCCCACTGAGATACCATGCCGCAGTGAAGCATGAATACCCCACTCAGACACATTATACTGACTCCGAGCCGACCAGTCCTTGTTGTACCCATTAATGCCGAGCGCCAGACAGGGACCAACATGTACTCATGAAAAGAACATTAGCAACAGCAGATAGCAACTTTTATAGTTGTTTTCGCTATTACAAACCCTCAGTAAACAAAACCGTGGTCCAATAATGCAATATATTCAAGGAGATCAAAGGCATTAAAGAATATGAAATGATGTGAAGTGTTTAAGTTAAAACAAAATAAACAAATCCTTCCAAAATAAATACAGTTGGTTTTCCTGGTTTTTGTTTGCACTAAGTAAATGATGCTTGTTAAAAGAGATTCTGGTCATCTGAAATGGACCAAACCATTGTGAAGCCATGAACCAGTTCTTTATTCCTCAGTGACTCACCAGGTACACAGGGCTGAATAACAATAGAACTAGCACAAAAAACCTGTCAGGTCCATCTACTGATCTACAATGAGGACCTGAACATTAAAGATTCACATTCTCGCGATCTTCACAGAAGTATCACATCAAAGATTACCAAACAGCTGCAGAATAAAGTAAACATCACACACCACAGCAAGAGATCAGCTAACAGCTTCTACAACCTCCACAGCTGCCCATTAGTTCCAAGGACCACTTCTTTATCTTGACCAGACAGAAAATGTTTTCCAATTTGCAAAATGCAACAAACAATACCATGAGAATTAAGTTCTCCCCACGGAGAAAAAGTGGAATGCTATTATGAAAACACTATTCCCTTCTGTCAGCTAAATATTCATTCAAGTCAAGTGTTTGTTGGGGGTTATTGATTTTGTAGACTTCCGTATCAAAGATAAAAGAAGATGGACGCATGTTCTGCTGGTAA